TTGGCATTGCCAAGCCCAGGCCCGAGATACATTTCTTAGGTATGGAGGATATTACCATGGACTGACATGCCACTGATCCAGGGAGCGGCCACAGTCTTAAACGGTTTGGAGTGTATATAGATGGCAGTATGAGACGATAGAACGTACACGTTTTTTATGTGCTTCCCCATACGGAGGTCTCTTTAATCCATGCACACTCTTCAGGTATTATCGTTGGCAAAGATGGTGCACCCCCCCCCCCCCCCCTCAGCCTGACTAAATAGAGCGTAGAGACACCTCCGTATCCACCTATTGGCTTGGATCTTCGTGATAGTCTAAGAGGGTCTAGATAGCCGTTAACAGGTGTCACTTTCAGAGCGAACCAGATAATTCTAACCGCTAAAATTGCTGCCTGCAATGTGATATCATCAAGTATATCACCGCTCTCTCTATTACATCATCATTCGTCATAGACTTCTCCCATTATAGAAGTCCTAGGGGGGGTGCAAATCTTTTGCAAGGCACCGATAGTTGGGTATCAAAGCAATTTAATGGTTTTGCTAGCGAAAGAGTTCTGACCCCATAAATGTGAGGATCCCTAGGTAGCCTTCAGTCCAATGAACTTTGATTCAATAATGTCAAAGTCTTTTGCTCGGTTGTGTTCCAGTCGCTTTTGCGTACATCTTTGGGGTCCAATCTGTCCGCCTCCATCGCGTCAGGCTTGAGCTATACTAGCTGGGATTCACGGGCAATCATGATCCTCACATATCTCACAGAATGCCAACATTATCCTTGCCTACTCTGTACATATTGCTTTTGTCGTTGGCTTTCCTTGGATCTTGAGTGACAGGTGTTTGCTGTAAGTACCTGATGCGAGTAGCCCACTGTGAGACAAACGCCGGTAGACATACACGCACCATCAGGTCTTGTTTTCAAACACCAGATCGGTATCTTCACAGTACCTGATGAAGCTTCATATGCTATGTTCATGTGTTTGTTGTAAGCGATCAACGCGCCCCGTCCTTTCCTTCCATGCCTCGAGACAGTGATCGTGATATTGTGACTTCAATCTTCTTTGTTATGGCTCCCACGTCACCGAGAATAAGTTCTGCACTTTCCCCGTCGGAACGGCCACCTCGGCCTATGTGCGTGACATGATCCACGCCGCTTCCGAGCGGGAGTGACTCCTGCCTTGTGCTTCGTAGCGACTTCAATGCGTATAAGGATCGCGACCTTGACTGACTAGCAGACTTTGCCGTGGAACTCTTCTGGGTCTTTTCCGCATAGTATTTGAAGAGAGGTGCCAGCGTGGGTATTGAGGCAACGATGATGCCTAAGTTGTTTTCGACGGTAGACCACATGATGAGCTTCGACGAATCGAGATAGTTGGCAAGGTTCTTGACGGTCTGAATTCGTATAACTTGTATGATCGTGATGAAGGTACCGAGGGTTAGCAGTCCTAGTAGAGCAAACTTCTTCCGTTTCTGAATTTGGCTCTTGACTAGGACTGGGAATGGAAGGATCATTCTAGCGAAGTTAGCCTGGGTACTAGATGGAACATTATGCTTTGCACTTACACTGCGACATCGAACAAGATTGTGAGCGATGCCACACTGGTGTAGAAAGGAACAGCAGGTAAGCACTTGCCGGTCAAGATCGCAGGATCCCATTGTTTCGCAACCTGTTGCTGTTAGCCACCAACGAAGCACCACGATACGGATGTTGCTTTGGAAAGGACGGGTATCTTACTGGCTGGCACAAATTGACCTGTACGAGGAGGAAAGAGATGTGAAATGCTATGCATGCGACTATTACTGTAATCGTAGCATTGCGTGCACCGCCCTTGGTCATGAAGCGAAGATAGGTGAAGAGTAGACTGAGTTTGAAACCCAGAATACTCGTAATGTAACTGTGGGCCTGTCAAAGTTTGCTGGTAAAAAATGTTCAAGCGTCTTAATTACAATGGCGCCCCCATATATTGTATCTAGCATGGTCAGTAAAATTGAAGTACAGCACTGTCGCACGAGCCTCACCAGTCCAAAGTTGTAAATGTTCTGCGGTGGCATGTCGATCAGGTGCTTCAGACCCAAGCCCCATTTTGTTTCTTGCACTCGGGTCAGTCGCATCGATCTGCGGTCGTAGAATATATTGACTTACGAGCGATCGTCACCACAGCAAATCCACACGATGCGATCTTTTGTAACATTTAGTCTTAGACCTAGCATAGTCTGACCCTCTAACGAACCCAGGTAAATATCAAGGTCCAGTCATCTGATGAAAGCAATTGTCGTTAGCGAAGTACAAGAACAGCACGACTGCTGCAACACATACCCGCGCCGACCGCTTTGATCATCCAAACCCGAACATACATACGAAGCAACAAGATACTAAGTGATGCTGAAGTCAATACAATTGCTACAGCAGTAATCTGCGGTCCGTCGTTTGCGATATCGTCCGCTGTATTGTATGTCCAGCCCATCGCGCAAAAGGGAATCGCTTGTCACAAAGACAAGTATGGGTGGTTTTAGGCTCAGCGAACCTCCGACATGCTACAGGAAGGAGCTTTCTATAGACCGCTGTGGCAGGCTGAATAACAGTCCGTAGTACCAGTCTGTCGGGGACGTCTCGTGTCTCATTACCTTGTCTATAGCGAGAACAGGGCCGTTCCTACATTACGAGATACGGCATCGCTCATGGTCGGTTCACAGAAGAAGAAATCTCAGCGACCATGCAACAGAAGGCAGCTCGGTTCACGCCCTACTCTCGACCTTGAGCACGTAGACGACTACAGAGGATGGTCATGGTCACTTCTGATTCGCTATACTTTTGCTAGAATGCGAGAGCTGTCGATGCATGCCTGTACCTGGCTCTTAATTGACACCCAGAGAAGCGTACACATGTTCGCCCACTCTGGACTTGGCAAGCATACCGAGCAGCTCTTAGGGGTTCTCCCACGCGGCTAGCCATCTTGGTCTCCAATACAATGATCCGAGCGCCTGATAGATGTCCATCGGTACCAGCTGACTGGGTCCAAGGGAAGGGATACCCATCTGAAGCATTCATCTCCGAGCATCACGTACGATCTAGACCAGCACGTTTAGGTGGCATTCTGCGTCTAATATCACTAGCCTGTCATTTGCATGGGGGCACAGGTCCTGTGGAAAATGCCGCGAGTTGAGGCCAATAAGAACATCGACTTGATCTGTAGGCGCATGGACACTCTGCAGGCCTGCGGCACAGCCATGCCGTTCCGGCATGGATTCAACGCACCCAACGGCTAGGACATTGTTCTATGTTCAATCCCTGAAGTGGCACATATCTACTGAAATATATCCACGGGTTGTGCGTAGAGTGCGACTTCTGGTATGTATTTTTTTTTCACGAGTGATGGTAGCGTATTGTTATCACCTATTATTGAAGTTTTGCGCGCAGCGGACTGTTCGTATTTTCCGAGTGTGAACAGGTGGTACGATATGGAGTGTGGATGTAGTCCCTTCCTTCGGGGGCGAGATGCATTTTTAGCGCAACTACCCTTACACACGCCCGCCGTCAATATCGGTACCATCCCCACATTGATTCTAGTCGCGACTATGCGCAAGTGGACTTCCTACATTCAGAGCTTATAACGCGTTGGATCTCTTGTCTATAATGCGTCTTGGTACGGCAAGATCTTCCCTGTCTCACACACAACGATGCATTTCACCGTCGTTACCGCCGCACTCTTGAGCGCCATCCTCGTTAATGGCCACAACTCTTCTGGTCAATGCAAAACTTTCCCAGGAGATAAGACATGGCCATCCGTCGCAGACTGGGCTGCCTTCAATAGAACAGTTGGCGGACGATTGATTGCGACTGTACCACTTGGTGCACCATGCCATGGTTCGACTTTCAATAATGCTACGTGCGAGAACCTGAAGAGCCAGTGGCAAGCCGAACAAATCCAGTAAGTTGATGTACCGTCTCTCAAGTCGCAAAATGGTTTGGTCATGGCCAGCGCGCCACGACTGCTATGGTATTCTCTTTGAGCAAAATAAATGCGAATCGGAGCGCCGAAAACCTTCAAGAGTCTCTATGAAGTAGAAAAGGCTGATCAACCGATAGCTACGAGTCTTCATCATCCGTAATGGCTCCCTTTTTCGCCAATCGAAGCTGTGACCCATTCCAGCCCAAAGACCGTCCATGTGAACTCGGCAACTACGTGAGATATGCAGTAGATGCGTCTGGACCTGCGGACGTTCAGAAAACTATTGCATTCGCTGCCCAGAAGAACATTCGTCTTGTCGTTCGGAACACGGGGCACGACTACCTTGGTCGCTCTACTGGCGCAGGTTCTCTGGCTGTGTGGACTCATCACCTCAAAGACATCACTCATATCCCGGCGTACAAAGGCTCAGGATACAGTGGTGCGGCTTTCAAATTTGGTGCAGGTGTCCAAGGTTTTGAGGCCATGGCTGCTTCACGTGACAAGAAGCTTGTCGTAGTCGGCGGAGAGTGCCCTACTGTCGGTATCGCGGGTGGCTATGCCCAAGGTGGTGGTCACTCGGCTTTGAGTACTAGCTTTGGTCTCGCAGCGGACAATGTCCTCAACTGGGAGGTCGTCACTGCCAATGGAAAGCTTGTCAACGCAAACGCTCAAGAAAACTCCGACTTATACTGGGCACTCAACGGCGGCGGTGGCAGCACTTTTGGTGTCGTTGTGTCCATGACAATGAAGGCCCACCAAGAACCAAAAGTCTTCGGTGGAGCGACCTTGTCATTCTTCACCACAGAAAACCCCCAGGAAACCTTTTACGACGGCATCCAGGCGTTCCACGAAGAGCTGCCCGCAATGGTCGACGCAGGATCCATGGTTGTGCACTATTTCACATCATCTTTCTTCATGATTTCTCCGCTCAGCGCGTACAATAGGACCGCTGCCGAGGTGAGGACCATCTTAGCGCCATTCGCCGCCAGATTGGACAAGTTGGGCATAAAATACACCGCTACATACAGCGAGTTCAACACGTACTACGAGCATTTTGACAAGTACTTCGGCCCACTTCCGCTCGGTAACATCCAGATAGGAATCGCGCAGTATGGCACTCGCCTCATCCCACGCAGCGTCGTGAAGACCATTCCAGACACCTGGAGAGCTATTGTGGAGAAGGGCGTGACATGGATTGGTGTAGGAACCAATGTCAAGTCCTTTGGGTCGCAGCAAACAACTTCTGTGCACCCCGCGTGGAGGGACACCATTGTGCACGCTACCTTGACGCTGCCATGGAGTTTCACTGCTCCATGGGCGGATGCATTTGAAACTCAGGAGAAGATGACCAAGGAGATCATGCCTTTGGTTGAGGCAGCGACGCCTGGTAGTGGCTCTTATGTCAATGAGGCTGACTTCCGTCAGCCGAACTTTCAGACGACCTTCTGGGGTGACAACTACAGGAAGCTGTCTAGTATCAAGAAGAAGTGGGATTCATCTGATATGTTTTACGCGACAGTTGGTGTTGGCAGCGAGGCTTGGAATGTTCGTAACGACGGCCGCTTGTGTCGCTCCACATAGATAGACTCAACAGCGACTAATACAAAAGTATTTCAACACAGAGTCAGTTCACATTTTGCAGGGAATTGCACTAATGCATACCACATATTGAGACAATAGTCACCATTGACCGTATTGCTTACCATCCATGTGTATGTGCTGTGCCGAAGAAAGTAACAGTTGAATGTTGTGTAATTCGACTGATTAGAAGAAACAAATGGTGCGGATCTCTATACTTTCCCTCATGGGGGCATCAGGCTTGCTAGTAGGGTCCTCAAAAGCTGTATGCCCTACAAACCTAGCTGTCCCATCTGTCGCGCTATCATAAGTCTTGAGCAGAATAGCCTGCTGTGGCGTCATCATGGGGAAGTACCACCACTTATGCTCAGGGTTGTGGCTCATAACATAGTTCTCCCCTACACGGTCACGATAACGCAGAAAGAGCTTGAAGAAGTCCTTGTCCGCACAGGACTTCACGTCGCACATGGCGAGTGGGCGTTCCTCGACGATATTGAGCGGCTTCCAGACGTTGAGGAAGGCGAAGCGGCGGGAGAGCAGGTTTCCTGCTTCTTCTCCCAAGAGCTGAGTGACGCGCACAGGTCCGGATTCAGCAGTGTAGTCGCAGTGCACAAGCATGACTGGTGTGCGCTGTGAAGTATTCTTCTCATCTGTAAGTTTCTTCTGAGAATTCCTTTCGCTGCGAATAGTGTGGTCGAATACGAGAACGCGCTTTGCGCCTGTAGTTTTCTTCAGAAAATCAACAACCTCGGGGTAAAATTGTGATTTCACTGCCGCATCATCGTCCCAAACTTCATGCTTTGAACGAAAATCGTGCACGGAAAAGCCATTCTTGTCGAGCGAGAAGCCCTTCGCCATTGGCCAGCCATTAGAGACGGAGATCTCTACTGGCGCGTCGCCTGGTTCATGTACGTCCTTAGCTTTGTCGCTCTCGTAGAAGTAGATTTCGGTGAGTCGATCAACCGCCTTCGTGTAGTTGACGACAGTTCGAACGGAGTTTGAAGCACGTACACGATCGGGGAACAGGGCCTTCTCAACAGCAGCCGCCGTGCCCTTCCAGCTGTCGAGCTGCTCAACGCCCTCGCTCATCCATCGTCTCAGGTTCGGATAATTTTCGAGCGGAAGCTTCATGTCCTTGTACGTTTGCCTGTATGGAATTAGCACTTACAAACATTCCTTTTATATTACAGAAGGACTTACATGGGCGCGGCTAGGGCAATATCCGCAATGGTTACATGGTCGCCCGCAATCCACTTGCTCTTGCTGAGACGAGCTTCGAGGATACCAGCACTTCGATGGAACTTGTCCGCTTCTGCGTCAATGACTTTCTGGTCTGGTTGACCTTTCATGAGAGGCTTCACCACGTTCTCGACGAGATAGACGTAGGTGGTAGGGAACCAGGAAGACGCTTCCCATAACAACCAGCGGTTGATCTGTTCGAAATCACTCGGTTAGTACTGTCAGACCTTCTTTAAATTTCACAAATTGTACTCACATCAGCGCGATGCTTCAGATCCTTTGGGTACATTGAGTCGTTACCAGATTTCTCAGCTGCATACATAAGGATTGCATTCTGTAGTGTTCCATTAGCACAGGGAGATAAAGCATTCGACCACTTCGTGAGCTTACTGATTCGGTGAGAGTGAGATCGCCATCTGTTGCTGCTGGTACAGTTTGATGTGGGTTGATCTTGGTAAACTTGTCGCTCTTATGCTCAGCGGTAAACTAGGTGTTGGGGCACGAAGTCAGTGTATGCCTTACATGCAATCAGTAAATGTATTTTATTTACGTAGTTAATGTAATTTTGCTTGTAATCTGCTTTGATTTCATCCAATCCGGCCAAGACTTTACGAGAGTTGACCGTACATGGGTCGCCTGTATTTATGATCAGCTACTGAGTATGATCTTTAGGCTGATGATGTAGATGCTTACAGTACACTTGGATACTCATCTTGTATGGTATACCTCAGGTTACAATGGCACAAAACTCAATGAAAGACGAAACCAATATGCAATGATTTTCAGCTTGACCGGGCGCTGCCTCGAACATAAGGAACGTGTAAGACCCTCGGTCTTAGCCGTCACTAAGGACTACCCCGCACCCTGCAACTCTGAGGCGATCAAACTGTCGAGCATCAAATAGTACAGCCAATGAGGATTTTAGGAATTTCTACCGGATCATCAGTCAGTGGTGGTGTACTGAATGTGGAAGTGTGGATGCACCCGTGTGGTGTCGGAACGGTCACCCATTCGTCCGACACATGTCCGTACTTCAAAGATAACAGTAAAACTACCTAATAAGCCCAATGACAGAGTTGGAGGCCTGAATTGACAGCGTAAGCTGCATTCAAGTGATACGCTGGTACTTGAGTAATCTTGAGCTCCCGAGGTCTCACCCTGATTGGCAGTTTTGCACCTTGACACCAACAGTGCATACTTTCTATGCGTTGTCATGCTTTTTCATGTCATACCTTGTCTTTCCCGATTTCATGTAGAATTGACATAATTGATGTGCTGCTGACCGTCCCAACTTTTGTGGTCCGGATTGTCGTGATGGTTTACCGATGCCTATTGTATGAGATATTACGACATGAAAGAAAAATAGCTTCCGTGAACGCTAGGGGTATTAGGAGTTATCAGCTTCGCGCGAAGGTTGGTGTTGCAAGCTAGAAGATGTTGGTGCATGTTTTCCCCTCCATTCGCGTCCAGTCTTTCCGTATCACTTCTCTCTTGCTGCTTGTTCCAGCTATTACTTTTTGCATTTACATGCTTCGTGTTTCTAAGATGGGCTGCTAAATCATGTTTGAGGCGGGAGCAATGGAGAAGGCGTAAAGCAGCGGCAATAGCGAGGTGTGAAACCCTCATAGCAGGCAGCTGAGGGTTGCGGCTACCATGGCAGCAAAAACACTATCCCGTGACACACTGCCTGGTTCGTGTGCAAGTAAAATGTGGACTAGCGCTGGAAGTTTAAGTACCTTATGGCATCATCATTGGTATGTAAACATACGTATGATATTATAAATACAGCTGAATTTATCATTACTGGAGCCGCCCGTCGACAAACCCCGGTGATAGTTGACGACCTTGTCGTCGTAAGAAGCCATCGCCTCAGAGAATCTAGATCCTGTGACGGGATCTAAGTCGCGAAGCTAGAAGATGAGGACTGGTTGGTTTATGTCGAGCATGTTCTTCATCTTGTCACCCAGATCTCCAACGTGGAAGGTAACACTTCAAGAAGGCATTTCGGTGTTCAATTTGCCAAGGAGATGTTCAAGACTTCGCAAAAGAATCAAAGTATGCGATTCGTACCATCTACAAGTAATGTCGTTATACACCTCCCGTTCCCATATGATAATTCCTATATAACCATGTCCAATGCCCTCGCCCAAGTCTGGTATCAATCTTTCCCATCCCCATGCCAGTCCCGCAAAAACGCCCGGTGATGGAAATGCTCGCCCAAAACGCTGGAATGTCCGTAAACTCAAATTGACACATGTAAGCCCAAACGTGAAGAATCAAGCTCGTCTCTCAGCAGCTCCATTCGTCGCTGGCGATCCCTCCCGCTGCGTCACTCCACTTTGAGTGCTCTCTTCCACCTGTGGACTTCTTTCTCTCCTCGCTCGTCCTCCAAATACACCACTCAATCTGACGCCCATTCTGCTTCTCCGCCTATCGTTTGTGTCTTCCTGCTGTTCGGCGACATCGCCGCTGCGATTCCGGCGCTGTTCGCGCAGGCGGCGGAGATAGTATATGCGTTCTTGGGGCGTGGCATTGGGTCTATGGCGCAGGGAGAGGATGTCGCGGAAGGCGCTGCGGTGGGGTTGTTCAGCCGCTGCGGCTTCAGGCGTAGGGTCGGCATCAGAGTCGGGTGTGGAGGAGTTGGAGGTTACGGGACGGAGGTCGACACGACTACCAGTATATTGTAAGCAGAGTTCCAGAGATAGTGCAAAGGGAGGACAAGAAGACTTACCATAGCGGACACGTGCCCGACACGTTGAGTAACCACGGGTCCACGCACTCGGGGTGGAATTTGTGGTCACAGGGTAGGACGCGGAGGTCCTGACCCTTTTCAAAGTCCTCGGTGCAGATGGAGCAGCCGAGATTCTCGTCGTGGGAGGAACTGTCTTTGCTAGCACCTGCTCCGGTCATGACCGGCTGTGCGGGAGCGATGCCCTCTTGTTGTTCTTCCACAGGCGCTGTTGGCACTTCACGCATGGCCTCTGCTGGCTCTGCTGTCTCTGGCGTTGTTGATACATTGTTTGCGCCAGTCGTAGTCTGAGCACCTGCTGCCTCTGGCCCTCGCGATGATTCCGCGGTAGACGCCAATTCGACATCCGTTGGCTTCGCTGGCTCTTTTTCGCCAAACTTGACGATGGGTATCGTGTCTAAGATGGCTCGTCCCAGTCCCCTTGCTCTGCTCTGCCTCGGCCGTCCTAGCACATTCCGGGGCCCGTAGCGTTCGGGATGGCGATGCGCTCGGATAGCGCCCGTGATGATGATGACCAGGAACAGCGCAGTGATGATACCCGTGATGCTGTACAGAATGATCATGGCCACAGCCGTGGACGGCGACGGCCCCAGCGGGTTCCGCTGGTCCATGGCCCCACCAGTGTTGGTGTTGGCTCCGCCCCTGCCCTCGACTTCGACGGAGAGCGTCGTGTTTCCCAGCAGGCCGAGTAGTGACTTGGAGTTGTCCTTGCTTGTCATGGAATAGATGTAGAGGGATTGGATCATCTCCTGGCTATTCTGCGAGGCGTATGCGCAGTAGTCGCTTCTAGTGCTGTACAAGACGACGGCCCGCGCATTAGCTTCGTATGCATCTTTGAAGACGCGTTGCGCGTCGTCGAAGCCGGTGTAGTCCTCCGAGTCGCAGCTGATGTAGGCGACATCGACCATGGACAAGTTGGCGGCATTGTTGAAGTCGGTCTTCACGAGGTTTCCGTTGACCTGTCACGAAGACGCACCGTCAGCTTGAGTAACAACACGAGACGGCATCTGGACAGGACGCACCGTTCCCCCGCTCGCTTGTCCAGTCAATGGCACAAGCGCCGCAAGCTGTGTCTGGTCGCCATCCGTACGCTCCAGAGCCAACGTGCCGGGGAAATCGCCAGCGGTCGAGCTGTTCGACGGCGCAATGGCGGCTGTCGCACATGTCGCAAACCATAGACAGGCCAGCGGCCACGACACGCGCTGCAGGCGGGAGAGCAGCATTGTTGCTGGCGCCGTGCCTGCGTCGTCAAGTCGTCAAGTCGTCAAGTCGTCAAGTCGTCAAGTCGTCAAGACGACTCAACAACAGATGCGGCGGAAACGTGGGCGGCGACGGGAAGCGCGTCGTGCTTATCGATGACCCATGGACTTGGACTCGACGCTCCAGAGCGGGGTGTGTCTTCAGCTACCAATAATCCACACAAGACGGCTGAGATGGATAAACACTTCTATAGCACGACCACTATTATCCCCAAAGCGCAGTGAATCGAAAAGTATATACAAGGTACAAGAGAACAGATCCGCACTCGGCGGCGGATATGGGATGGCGATATTCATAAGTCTCACAAGTCCACCCGCGCAACGCCGGTCGATCCACGAGTCCGAAGCGCGCCGGATGCATGTGCATGCAAGGATGACGAGCGTGTGGCACACGAGCTCCCGGTTTCTGCTGGCACTTGTACCGTCTACCTCACTTCTGAAACCCTGTACTGCGATTGACTGTCCCGTTAGAGCACTTCGCACAGCCCCCATTCATGCACTACATCTCCAAAACACACCGAATTCGTCCAGCCATCCTTACTTTGTTAGTCTCGCGTGGCCACACAATTTGTCCGCTTCCCTCCAAATAAATACAACTTATAGCATTTGCTGGAACTTCTGGCACGCCTCGGTCCCACTTTCGGAGCACCGTCAATGCAAAGGAGCTGAAGATCATGGAGAAGACGCGGCATCGCAAAACGCCGAGATTTCAGTCGTCAGCTGTCGTGAAGATCACCAAGACCAACTTCGCTTGTAAGACGGCAATTGCCGCTACATCTAGTATTCGCACCCATCTGCTATCGAACAACTACAAACAAGAAACGCCTGCGCTATGTGCTGCGAAATGCTGAACATACACCGAAACGCCTGCTCGTGTGAGGCAGACAAGGACAACCCCCAATCAAGCATGGAAAAGGACGCATTACTATGACCACCATTTTCTTCCAACACATTAGTCAGGTGATTTTTTTCAATAAGCTAAGCCACTCCGGCGCCTTCCTGGCGTCTTGAAGTTCATCGACTGAAGCTCCACTAGACCGCCCAATGCCAGCGTATCGTGCGGATTGACACCCATTCTTGCCTCGTCGATAAAGCCGGAAAGGTAGAATCCAGCAATGACAACAAGGTATGACAATATAAGGATGGATCCCTTGAAGTAGTTGCTTTTTCCTTCGCCGTACATGTACGACAGCAGGAATACACACAAAATGACAGTCACCATATCCCACTGTGGGAAGATGAGGGTGAATGTCTGGTTTGCAAGCTCGCTGGCGGGTATGTTGGTCGCGTGCATGGCGCTGTAGAATACAAGCGCTGGGATCTGAAGAAGACAGACTTGCAGAGCATAAGCTGAACCGATTTCCATGGACAAAGCAATATTGCCGTTCATGGCAAAGGATATGGCGTTCAGGAATTCCGTCGTGTTTGGAACCAAAGCAAACAGCGTAATACCGAGGAATTTCTCATCAATCGATGACCCTACCAGAACGGCATCCACAGTATTGACCAGTATTTCCGCAATAATGGCATAGGCTAGAGTTGCCGTCATCAGGATAGCTGCACTCTTCCCACGGCTCCAGTTTGGCGCGTCATGGCCACCAGAAGCAGCAGTGTCATGCTCTTCTGGAGCGTCCGTTGTCGCCCGAGTATTAACTGGCCGATCAGCATGCACCTTCATTGGCGTGGACACCATACGAGCAGCCTTGTGTGGGGCCCGTGCAACATCCCGTGTAGCCAAGGCAGTAGTGGTCGCTGCGATTTCAGTGATTTGTCGCATCAGTGACTGCGTAGCATCGTCCGTGAGGCCATCAACGTGGAACACATGCTGGTTGTGCTGTTCGCTGTCCTTTGGAGGTACGACATGTGGTGTTTTCCCATCAGATTTGGAGCCTGGTCTACTGGCGGTAGCTGCATCTTCTGAAGCACCATAGCCGACCTCTTGCAGCGTTTGTCCCACGATGCGCTTATACAGTTGACTGTCCCGTATATGTGCCCGTGAGACAGAGTTCCCAGTTGCTTGTCGAACAAATGACGAATGTGGGAACTCGAGATGACCACTGTTGCTGAGACTGCTTGCCCCCATGTCCAAGATTTTCTTCTCTTTCTCATCTGGCTCGGTCCAGATGGTCGCAGCGTGTGTTCGCAAGGTGAAAAGCAGACCGATAAGGTACGAAACGAACAGCAAGGACGCTGCGAACCAGGTATATGGCTTGACAGCTTCGTTGTAGAAGGCATCGTGTAGTGCTGGCGTTTGCGAGTAGTAGCATCGACGGCAATCCCGCTCTGATGATGCAGACCCATGACTGCAATCACGACACAAAAGCTCGTGCTAAATATGTCAGCTGAATGAACAACGCAAAAGGATGTATAACTTACGCTGCCATATATTTGGTAGAACAGAGTTGGGCCGAATGCACCAATGACAGCAAAGAGCAACATAGTTGAGGTGACACCTGCGGATCGTACGTTGAAGCGCTGAGTCTTGCGCTTGAGTGCACCGAAGCACATGGAGAGACCTGGTAGGAAGAGTATGCCTGCGAAGATACTGCCGATGATGCTGCCCTCGACAAGCTGAGCTTTGCCCTGTTTGAGCGCCACACAGTACAGAAACACCTCGACAATAGTGGAGAAAAACGCGTTGATAGTTGCACCGACCCCCATTGAGGATTGGGCAGAGATAGATGCAACTGCCTGTCCTATGAAGTATGCCAGGGGAATGATGGAGAGCAAGGCAAGCGTGAAGAGCAAGAACTGGTCAGTCAACCAAATCTTCATTTCAAGCGCTTCAACCAGAACAAAGTAGTCGAAAATGGTAAAGGCGACAAGACCGAGAAGATTGATGAGGAATATGTTGGTTCCATCGATTGTGTACTTCCAGTACTTGATTCCAACGGCACGATATGTGCACAACAGAATGGAGGAAGACTCGCCAGGACGGCGCACATTGCCATTATCGGAATGGAACGAGAGCGCCAGGGGATGGCGCCGCAGATGATCGAACAGGAGGAGCGTGACCTTGCCCATCGGAATGGTGAAGACCAGAAACCAGCAGATACCAGACACGAGGAAGAGAGCCGGCGTGAGGACAAGGTAAAAGAAGACGAAGAAGAGGACTCGGCCGAAGGTCCACTGGCCACGTCCGAATAAGCGCCTCTTGGTTTTGGCCGTCTCAGTGTGATGGATGCTCGCTCTGCCTTCGCGCCCAAGCAGGCTCGTTGTTTCGTCGCCAGTAGAGTCGACGCTGTTACGACGACGGCCGACAAGGGAACTGCTGCCGGTTGTAGGTCCGAAAAAGAGGCGACCTTCCTCGATGTCACCGCTCTGCCATTGCTCGTATTCGCTGATACTGCGACCCTCGCCTTCGTCTTCCTCTACATACTGATCGTCTTGGAGGAGCTTGACGTATCTGCCGAAGGGGTAAAAAAGGTAGGCGGCTAAGTGGAAGAGCAACCATGCATATTCCATGCAGCTGTCAACATAGCCAAACAAGGCACACAACACACCTCCAGCGCAGGCAATAAGTGCCAGCCACCAGCCGAAGCATAGTGTCCAGACCAGGTTGAAAATGAGCAACCAACTGCTGACTGAGGATCCAGGAGACGAGTGAATGTCGGCCTCGGCCTTGTTCTGCACAGAGCGGCCCTTCTTGTACAAGGCAGGCTTCCAGATCCTGATACCGAAGGGATGCGTGACGTTGATGGCGTCTTGACGGTCGCGTAACGTAAAGCTCTCGGCATCGCTGACATCGCCCTCGTCATCGTCTTCTTCGTCAGCACCCGTGTTGCTATCGTCCTCATCGGCGCGCACCGTCTCTTCGCTCGAGGAGCTTGGCTGCGGCTGTTCCACAGGCTCCGTGGGGGCCGCAGCACTCCCCCGCTCGGCTGACTCGTCTTCGGTCGAATCGATGGTGGTAAGGGCAGGTGGCTGCTGGCCTGCTGGTCTGCGGCGGACTGTGGACGATTTGCGACGCAGCGGGTGTTGGCGCTGTTGCTTGGACTGCTGTGTTTGCTGCTTGTCTAGCTGGACTTCATCTTCGGCATCGTCGACACTGAATTCCTCGCCTTTTCGCGGGAACTTGGACGAGGTGGCGCGACGGGTCATCGAGGGTTTCTTCGGCTTGGCTCCCGACTGTTCAGATGGTCCCGCGGTCGGCGGCTGCTGTTGCTGCTGCTGTTGCTGGCGCCGCTCCATGCCAGATGTGATAGAGCCTGCACTATCATCAGTATCCTGTGGCCTTGCCAACAAGCTGTGCAGGTCGCGTGGATCAAACATACCATAGCTTGTTGGCGGTATGGCGCCCTGTGCTCGCCGGCGCGCCAACTCGGCTGCGCTCGTGTTTGCTGTGGTTGAAGGCGTGTTGCTGCCGTGGGTGCTGCCTTGTCGCGATGTCTCTGGCTGTGGGGTGCTTTTGCCGCCCGGGGGCGTATGGTCGCCTTCGCTCATGTTGAGCGTGGTACGGAAGGGTGTCGCAAGGGAGCGTCCTGAAGAACTGGGAACGGGGCGGTGGTCCCAGCTTGATGTAGGTTTGCTCCTCTCTACGTGCACGAGACGCTACTGGGCTGCCGTGCCGTTAGATTGTAGGATCGATCAAGATGCATCACATTCAGACTGGTGCCCCTCTGCGTGGTGCATGTGTGAAGCATGCAGATGACCATGATCGGCCAATCGTCAACATGCAGCAGCTGCGGCGCCCGGAGGTAATCGCGGCTCCCGTCTCACCCACGATAAGCTTTACACATAGATTAATTTTGATGCTGCTCTCACAGAACACAGCAGCTACTTCTGACATGTGCTCAAGCTGCGGATCTGCGCATTTGCATTTGTTTCTAAGCATTCAGTCTGTTTCTGAGGAATGTCAACATGTGACACGCACTGGTGACGAACAGGGAAAGAATGCCCAGTGGGGCGGCTTCCTCTAGCGCCAGCCACTAGCGCAGCCTCCGGAGAAAGGTTGCTCCACACCGCCCGGGAGAGCTTCGGAAGCTTCCACTCCATCGTCAACACGATACCGCAGCTGCATTCACTGGACTGCCATCATCAAAGTACATCAACCACTCCTGCATCCGCTCGAGAAGCCAGATCTCGCAGTCAATAACAGCGCCGGAGGTACTTCACGCCCTCGACAAGTCAACCCGCACCACCTACGTCCATCACATCCGCCGCCTGGCGCCCGCCACAGCTATGGCGCTCGATACCTTCTTTCACAACAAGATCGAGGCGATGAAACTCGAGATCATCCAGGGACAGGCCAAGCTGCGACGACTTGAAGCTCAACGAAATGACTACAACTCAAGAGTGCGCTTACTGCGGGAGGAGCTGGGCCTGTTGCAACAGCCGGGATCATATGTTGGTGAGGTTGTGAAGGTCATGGGCACGAAGAAGGTCCTCGTCAAAGTACATCCCGAGGGCAAATACGGTAGGTTCTGTTTACACCCTATCTGTCAAGAAAAGGCTAATGTCATGAAGTGGTCGACATTGCAGACAGCGTCGATATCAGCAAACTCACCCCCGGCAAACGTGTCACCCTGCTCAGCGACTCGTACAAGCTCGAAAAGCTGCTGCCATCCTCTGTCGACCCGCTCGTCTCGCTCATGATGGTCGAGAAGGTGCCAGACAGCACGTACGACATGATTGGTGGTCTCGACCAGCAGATCAAGGAAATCAAGGAAGTCATTGAGCTGGGTCTGCAACATCCTGAACTTTTCGAATCGCTCGGCATAGCGCAGCCCAAGGGTGTCTTGCTGTATGGCCCGCCCGGAACGGGCAAGACGCTACTGGCGCGTGCAGTCGCACATCACGCGGACTGCAAGTTCATCCGAGTGTCTGGCAGCGAGCTGGTGCAGAAGTACATTGGTGAAGGTAGCCGCATGGTCCGAGAGCTCTTCGTCATGGCCCGGGAGCACGCCCCCAGTATCATCTTCATGGACGAAATCGACAGCATTGGTTCAAGTCGTGTTGAGGGAAGCTCAGGTGGTGACTCCGAGGTGCAGCGGACCATGTTGGAGCTACTGAACCAGTTGGATGGTTTTGAGCCCACCAAGAATATCAAGATTATCATGGCAACGAATCGTCTCGATATCCTCGACCCCGCATTGCTGCGCCCGGGACGTATCGACAGAAAGATTGAGTTCCCACCGCCAACTGTCGAAGCCCGTGCCGACATTCTCCGTATCCACTCCAGGAGCATGAACCTGACGCGTGGTATCAACCTGACAAAGATCGCGGAGAAGATGAACGGATGCTCGGGAGCCGAGTTGAAGGGTGTGTGCACAGAGGCTGGTATGTACGCGTTGAGGGAGCGGAGAGTACACGTCACCCAGGAGGACTTTGATCTCGCAACCGCCAAGGTCCTGAACAAGCACGACGACAAGGCAACCAGTCTGAGCAAGCTCTGGAAGTAGTGGGAGAGTGGAGGATGGGCATGCCTATGCGTGGCTTTTGTCGTGCTCACATTGGCGTCGTGTATACTATAAGCATAGCGGCATGATGATATGCATGATGAATGAAACATTATTGGAGAGCCGATGTCAGCAGCAATGGTGATCTCGTGAGACTCGAGGACCCCACTGGGTCAGCACCTAGGAGGAGAATTGCAAGGCTGTATCGGCAGCTGGAAGGCATGCGTAGTTCTCTACATAATGAAATCTCCAAACATAGCTAGACTTCCACTGCGGTAACTACGTGCAGTAAGCAAGCTTACTCAAATGCTCAGATCGCGTGGGCAACTAAACGTGGTGATGGTTTCATGTGACATCGCGTCACTCTTCCCCGTCCGGGGGCCCCTCCACCTTTCCGCACTCCACCCTCCCGCATGCAGATCCCGCTTCGACGGCCCCATAACAGTTAATCGCCAGCAGCAACCACGAAGAGTACATGATGCCTACCAACCAAAGTCCCTTCCTCTGTACGCATTAACGCATTAGCGAGTTGCACAGCTGATGAATGACGTCCGTGTGCATAACCCACCCACACCATGCAGCCGGTACGCCCACACACCGTGATAGCGATTGCGTGAGCGGGAAGGCCGATAGCGTGATAGGATCAGCACGCTCCTTCCCTACTGCAAGCAAGCCAACGGTTCGCACTGTTGTTTAGAGCCCGTTGCACACCCCGGACGACGTTCCTATTAGCGTCGGACATCATCTATTTTGTCTTACCATTCCCTTCATTCCTCAACTTGACCTTTATCTCACCACCCCACACTCACAGTTGCAATGGCGAAACTCGAAACCGAGCACGACTTGCCCTCAATCCACGAGGTGCCGGTTGGCGTGCTGGAGGAAGGATCGCTGGATCCGGTTTACGAGGCCAAGGCCAAGGTGTTGAATAAGGCGATTCAAGATGTTGGTATGGGCAAGTATCAGTGGCAGGTAAGTACAAGGATCTTGAATTTAAGGTCATGGCCGCTGACGATGGGGTAGTTGTTCATTGTCATTGGTTTTGGCTGGGCTATGGACAATTTATGGCCAATTGTGACGAGCTTGATCTTGCCAGCCGTTAGGAGCGAGTTCCATCCCACAAGGGCACCGGTAAGTTATTGTTGCGTGTTAGTAGCTCAATGATGCGCCCTGGGGATATTTGCGACTACATCATTTCCAGGATCCGCTTGCGAAACGAGTTGAAAGATATTCAAAAAGCATCATAAACAATTGAGGGCGAGTCTAACGCTAAGCAGTTCCTCACCCTCGCCCAAAATATTGGCCTGCTCTTCGGCGCCGTCTTCTGGGGATTCGGATGCGACATCTTCGGTCGACGATGGGCTTTCAACCTGACTCTGGGAATCACATCGGTATTCGGCATGGTTGCAGCCAGCAGTCCAAACTTTGCTGCCATTGGTATTTTCGCTGCACTCTGGTCTGTCGGTGTAGGTGGCAACTTGCCAGTCGACAGTGCCATCTTCCTGGAATTCTTGCCCGGATCCCATCAATACCTTCTCACGATCTTATCGATTGACTGGGCCCTCGCCCAAGTCTTTGCTACGCTTGTAGCATGGCCGTTGCTTGGTAATATGACATGCGCGTCAACCGACACCAATTGTACCCGAGGCGAAAACATGGGCTGGCGCTACTTCCTAATCACCGTAGGAGGTGTAACGTTGATCATGTTTATGCTTCGCTTTGTTGCATTCACTGTCTTTGAATCGCCTAAGTTTCTTATGGGCAAGGGCAAAGATGAAGAAGCCGTCCGTGTCGTCCATGAAGTTGCTCGCCGAAACGGCAAGACTTCGTCATTGACCATCGAGGACCTCCAGGTCTGCGAAACACTTGCTGTAGCTGGCACACCAGCACAAGTTCAAACCACCACGGCCGCAGCACTGAAGCGTAACCTCCAAAAGATCGATGCCTCGCATGTCAAAGCCCTCTTCGCGACGAGGAAACTTGCCTTCTCCACCAGTCTCATCACACTCATCTGGGCGTTCATTGGACTAGGTAAGAGCATATAATACGAAAACTATACAAATTATTGACAGCTACTTTAGGCTTCCCGCTTTATAACGCCTTTCTACCCTACATCCAGCAGACGCGTGGCGCAGAATTCGGCGACGGAAGCACGTACCTGACCTACCGCAACTCGCTCATCATCGCCGTGCTCGGTGTCCCCGGCTGTCTCCTCGGCGGCCTCCTCGTCGAGACACCTCGCGTAGGTCGCAAAGGCACGCTCTCCGCCTCGACGATCCTTACAGGCGTGTTTCTCTTCGGCAGCACCACGGCACTCAACTCGGATGCCTTGCTAGGCTGGAACTGCGCGTACAATTTCATGAGTAATATCATGTATGCTGTCTTGTACGTCCCCAGCTTTACCTTTCCCTGTGCACAAAGAAAGTCTGAGCTTGTATATGCTAATAGTGATGCAGATACTCATACACGCCCGAAATCTTCAGCACCAAAGACCGCGGCACAGGCAACGCCATCACCGCCTCGGCGAACCGCATCTTCGGCATCATGGCGCCCATCGTCGCCATGTTTGCCAACCTAGAAACCAGCGCGCCCGTTTACGTTAGCGGCGCGCTCTTCATTGCCGCGGGCATCTTGGTGCTGTTATTGCCGTTCGAATCGAGGGGCAAGGCGAGTATGTAGACGTCAGATCTTTGCAGAAAGGAAATCACAATGTGAATGTGTCTTAAGCCGGAAGCGTAGATGGCTTCCCTGGCTAGACAGTGTCACAGTTGCGTGCCCGAAGTTCTCCGTGCTCCGATCTTCATGCTTAGTCATGGAAACAATCTCTTGTCCTCGGATCAACGACTGCGATTGTCAGTGTGAATCAAAAACATAGCATATGCATGTACCAAATTGTCATTACAAGGGTAATGTAGATAAGAAAGATCCAGCCCGGCCCCGTTACGAACAACTCCCAGTTAAAAGAACCTAGTTAAAAGAGAAAAGGAGTCTTTACACAAAGCTAAAGTTGTGTATGTGTATGTGTGTGATGACACGCCCCTCCAGTCATGCTTCCATGTGTCAATCTTCAAGCCCAAATTCTGCATGACCTGCTAGTGGACGTGATCAATCTCGTCCACGACGGGGGCAAACACGGTCCTGTCCTGTCTTCTGAGCCTCCTCATAACCCCCCCCCCCCCCCTCTGCTCTCTAACAGCACTTGCCACCCATGCCGCCGCCATTCGCATCTCCAGCTTGGCCCACGTCCACCTTGGGGCCGGCGGCGGGGTCCGTCCTCGCGGTGTCTATCAAGCGCTTCTTGATATCCGAGGCGAGCGAGTAGAAAGCCTTGTCGACGTTGATGTTGCTCTTTGCGCTGACCTCGAGGAACGGAATGCCCGGAGTTCGTCGGCAAGCGCCTGGCCCTGCTCAGTAGACACAGCGCGCTTCTCTTCCCAGTCACACTTGTTGCCGATGAGGATCTTGTTGACGCCTTCGGTAGCGTGTTGCTCGACGTTGGAGAACCATGTGCGGATGTCTGTTGGTGGGTTAGCTTCCCTCCCTCTATTCTCCCCAATGTCACAACGTACTGTTGAAGCTCCTCTCGTCGGTAACATCATACACCAGCAAGATGCCCATAGCACCCCTGTAGTAGGCCGTCGTAATCGTCCGGAAGCGCTCCTGGCCTGCAGTGTCCCATATCTGCAGCTTCACACGCTTGCCGTCCAGCTCAATGGTGCGAATCTTGAAGTCAATCCCAATCGTGGTGATGAACGAGGGTGTGAAAGAGTCCTCGCTGAATCGTAGTAGACAGCATGACTTGCCTACGCCCGAGTCGCCGATGAGGAGCAGTTTGATCTGTGGGGGGCAGGGTCAGTCTGGGGTGTGCACCCGGTGTAGCGTATGACGACAGGGAGGGACGCACGAGGAAATCGTAGTTTCTTGTTCCCGCCATGGTAGAGGTTGTGTGTGGAGGGGGCTGCGGGCTGCGGGCTGCGGGCTGCGTGCTGCAGGCTGCGTTATCGAGGCTGGAGGCGGGCGATAATGCGCGCAATCGGCGGTGGAGGCGGGCGGCTGGGGAATTTGGCGGGGCTGTTGAGGGAGCGCAGGCGGGTATACTCGAAGGGCAGGGCGCGGTGTAGGCGAGAACAGGTGTTTTCTGGTGACAGGGCGGTGCAGGCAACACAGGCAACGTCGTTGGGGATCTCCAGGGTTCGGGCGGGTTGACGTTGTTCGGCCGCCAAGCTCGGTGCGGTCACGAACTGCCACACTGCCACTGCCACACTGCCACTGCCACTGCCAACTACCTGCCAACTGCCATTCACGCCTTGAAACCGCGCTGGTGGCGACTACCTGTCACCCCACCGCCCACGCGTGTGCACTGTCGTGTGAAACGTGCGACTGGCATGGTCGATTGTATTTGACTCGCTACATATTTATCTCTACGGCTCATCACTCATGCGCTCATTATGTATGCGTGGCCTATGTAAGCCACTTGGAATAAGCCCACCGAATCCTGTCAACCACCTTCTGCTGCCGCTCTAGACCACTTCTAACGTCAACGAGCTCGTCGACCTCCACCAGAAAATCGTGGAAGATGCGTCGTGGGAGGATAGTGCTGGCAGCCTGTCTGAGCAGGTGCACTTCGCAAAGCAGCAGGCCGTGGTCCTTGTACGAGATCTCGCCAAACTCCGTCGGCGTCGCACTGGTGAGGATGCGATCAATGTTGCGCAGGACCAGCAGCATCTTGCCTTGTCGTGCCCATTGGCGCACCCCCTGGCGGCTACTGAAGGCACCTCTAAGCCATTGGTACAGTCCAACACTGACAAGCACTCCTGGTGTAAGGCCAATAAAGCCAAAAAGCAGCTCCTGGCTCTTGAGGATGCTGTCGATACCGCTCATAGCGACTTCAATGTCCACCTTGGTCTTCTGCACTTGGATGAGGAGTGCGCTAGCCAGGTTACCAACAATCGCGCCCTTGATGGGGCTTTGAATGTCTTTTTCGTACGACCTCAGTATGGGTGTTAGGTCACCCTCCCTTACCTTTGCCCTGATGTCCGCGATTTGCGTTTCGTTCAAAGAGGCGCCATCCGGATGTTGAGTTGCGAAGTCGACCACCATGCGCTCAAGGCTTGCGCGGTCCGTTTCGAGGCTGCGCTTGCTCAGCAGCGAGACTTCACTATCTGCGTCGTGCCGGATTGTGCCAATAACCCTCTTTGTAGGCTCAACCACCCAGTTCGACCAAAAGTCGATTACAGTCTGTCCAAACTCTTGTACCCACGCCAGGATCTCTTCTTGTCGGTTCAAAACGATGCGGAAAATGGTGGTGGATGATACAAGCAGAACAGTCGCGGGAAGCCAGTAGCGTATGATTCGTGAGGGGCGGCCGTTCTCTTTGACGACGGCATTGAAATTCATAGTGTATTTCGGCACAGCGTGGTTGAGCAGATACTGTAAGCGTTCGGAAACGTCACCTGGCTTCAGTGTCGTCGCTGTCCGCTCGCCAGAGGGTTCGTGCAGCTCGTAGTACTGGTCATCCTGGGTGATGTTGGCAACTGAGTCATCAAATTTGTCGATGGAGAGTTCTGCCGCGTTTACACTTTGAATGACAGCATCCATAAGTGCAATTGTCTTCGAGACGACACTCTTCCATCGGTGGTTGTTGTCGTGTGCCCCCAGCAGACCAGGCGTTTGTGTGCCCTCACTCTCGATGCTGGTGGCCGTCAGTACCAAACTTGGATCAACCAGTCGACTCTCGATGCGCACCTATCATTGCTCAGACCTTCGCCCAGAAGCACCCCCAAAGCGTTGGCATTGATGAGGCGGATCTTCTTCAATGCAGCGCGCTTCCGTCGGCCCTCATTCCTCACCATGGCAAGGGGACTGACAACCCTCCGTTGAATGTTGGCGATACTTCTCTCGCGTACAGAGTCTTTCACAAGCCCATAGAACTGACTCCAGCCGTCAGCCACCTGGCCACCTCTCGACCGTACATCGTGATATATCTCCTGCGACCACTTCCACAAACGAATCGGTGAGGTTTGGATCGAGTAGAGCCCAGCGAAGTGATATGTGCTGAGGACATCATCCCAGTACCAGATATCGTCTTCCAGTGGAATGGTCTGTTCAAGGATGGTGCTCAGCACCTGCCCATATGCTTGGGTGGTGGCCTTGCTCAAGAGCAGCCACTCCAATTCGTGCTCATAGCTTGCATCTCCTTTAACATCCTCCTCGTCGCTATCGTCGTTTGCACTCTGCGCAAACCATTGTGTGCATGTGGAACAGCTGCTGGAGAAATCTGCCCGCCGCAGTGTCTCTAGTATCCTATATGCCGGCACAAGACTTGACTTGGAGCTTGCAGTCGTCGACAGGCTCTTGATGAGGTTCTGCAGATGCGCGATCCGTGCTGTCTTGGCGGGATCGTGTGCTTCCTCTGCTGTCAGGGTCGAGAAGCTCGAACCGGTTTGTGGTGCGGAGAGTTGCAGCCGGTCGAGCTGACTGTCAATGCGGCGGATCTGGCTGGTCTCGATTAGTCGCAAAATCTACATTTCTTTCTAACATGACGAGACTTACTCTACCACGAAAGACATGGTAACGCCGCGTTGGCGCCGGAGTGAATGGTGCAACGGTTGTTTGGTTCGCAAGAGTGATCCGACCCAGGATAACGCGCGCCTACCCGCTTCCCAAAAAAGACGCCGATGACGTCGCCAGAGGCTCGTGCTTTCATCTCAACCCTAACGGAACGTGTTCACACTCAGCACTCCTTTGAATTTCGTACCAGGTAGCGCATGTGCACTATGTGAACTTCAGATTTCGGTCTTAGAGGTGTCTCCATGACAGTAGTAACTATATAGTTCAAAGAGTGAAGTCTAGGACAAGTCATCATCATCTTGTGCAAAGGGTGTTCATGAAAGTTGAAGTGCATTATTCAATTAACGCGCTGCCACTCATCGAGCGGCGCAATCAGATTCGCACATGACACCAGTTTTCCCCGCAAATATGCTATCAGAATACAAAAAGGAAACTTATCTACGAGACTATCATCTACAAAGCAAAGAAAGCAAGCGCAGCGCCAATCATGGCAATGTTGGCCTCAACACCAAGCGGCGATGCAGCACCGGTGAACTGGGCTGGCGCGGAGGGACGAAGACCTCCAGTGCCAGTTGGCAGCACAGACGGCCTCAAGGTCGAGCCAGTAGGGTATGGTGCACCTCCAGCAGCAGGTGTGGTGGCAGCTGGGGCGGACGGAGGTGCAACACCAGGAACGAGACCGACGGGTGCGGCAGGTGTAGCCCCAGGGGCGGGAGTCTCAGTGGTGAAGTGGACAGCTGGGACGGTAAGAGAAGTGGAGCCATACGTGATGGTGGTGACAGGGTAGCCTGCTGGCGGTGCGGGTGCAGGAGGCGCGGGCGTGTTTGCGGGAGGTGCAGCAGCGGGGCCAGTGGGGATACCAGCAGCGGCAGATCCAGTGGTCGAGGCATCAGGAGTGCTGGGAACGCCGGGAGCTTCGGGTGTAGGGGGAGTGTTGTCGAAGGTGTCCTTGGGGCAGTCGGTGACAATGGACGGGTTCTCAGGCACATGCTCGGCACAGATACCGACGAGGTACTGCAGAGTCTTCTTGGTCTGCTCGGGTGTGTCACAACGAGCAACGACGCAGTCAATAACGTTCTTGGTGAACTTTGCGTTCTTGCAGTAGCAGTCCTTGTTGGTGTTGTCCTTGCACTCGGTGCTGATCTGCAACCAGGTGTTCATGCAAGTGGGCAGGATCTGGTCAACCTCAGGGGGAGGGTTGGAAGAAGGTGGATAGCTTGGGCTGGATGACTGTGCTGGTGGAGCACTGGACGACTCGACGACGGGAGTACCAGTGCTTGAAGCTAAAACAGTACTAGATGACTCAACAACCGGAATAGGAGTGCTTGAGGCCGGGGGCGCAGGAGGAGCGGAAGAGGCGCCGCAGTCGCTTCCATAGCTTCCATCGCATGAAGGCGAGCTCTCCTGAGCTGGTGGAGGAGAAACAACAGAAGAAGACTCTGGCACGGGAGTGACAGTGCTGCTCTCCTTGCCTGGAGGGGCGACGATGGTGCTCTCTTGAGTTGGCGGTGGTACAGCAGGCATAGAGGTGTTCACAAACGGAGGCAGAGAGGAGATGGTGGGAGCGGTCTGAACAGGAGGGCAGCCTTGACCGTAGCCTCCGTTGCAACCCTCAGTGGTTGCAGGAGCAGACACAGCAGGAGTCGACTGAGTAGCGGAAGAAGACTGAACAGGTGGCGGGGTAACCTTGGTAGATGTGGCTGGTGGTGGGGAAGGAGGGGAAGGAGGGTTGTATGGCTTGGGTGGGTTGCACTCGAAACCGATGTTGTGGAAGTTCAGCTGGTCAAAGTCAGTGACGTTTCACACAGAGTTTGCTTCTCAAAACTTACGCCGCAGTCAGACTTCTCGCCCTTGTACGAGCCACCAAGGTAGACTTCGACCGACTTGGCACCACCGCACTGGGTGTTCTCGACGGTAGAACCCTCCTTCTTGCAAGGAACAGACTTTTGCTTACACAGAGAGCCGTCTACGAGGGTGTAGTGGAGGTCTGAAAAAGTCAGCACAGGCACAATGGTCGTTGCCAGGGCCGTTCACGTACCAATCATGACATCGAATTCAACAGATATGTCAATGGTCTTGATACTGAAGCCGTCCTTCTTCTTGTCACAGCTGAATTGGGCAGGCTTCTTCTTGCTGCACCTGTTGACAATGGCCTTATTACCAAAAGTACGCTTGGTGAGGCCATCGCGCTTACCCAAAGCGCTGGAGCATTTCCAGTCCTTGGAGAAGTCAAAGTCGCCATATTGGAAGTTGGAAGTACCCTCTTGGAGGTCCGACCAATCAAAACCACCCTTTTGCTTGTCGCTACATTCGTTGTTGGCGTACTGTGGCGACAAGAACGGCTTTCCGGAGAAGTCCCAGGTAGCAGCGGCTTGCTGGGCAGCGAGACCCGCCAGGAGAGTGTACGTGGTCTTCATATTGAAGAATGTAATACCAGACAGCAACTGAAAGTGTTTAAGATATTCGGAATGAGTGTCGTCGAACTGCTTAACGAAAGATTGCAGCTGACTATTTCGAAAGGTGGAAACGAATGAGTAGTCTACAAGACAACAAAGCAGTAACGAGTGTACTTTGTGGTAGAAAAGCAGATGAAAGCCACGAGAAAGCCGAAATTAAGAATAAAAGGCGTAGAGAAAGAAGCCTTATGGGCGGACAAAGACGAACATATTATACCAACCGCCATTCTACAATGAAACAGCCCTCCTTGAAAACACCCGAGAGGGATTGGCCGTCGAGTTCTACAGGACCCAGAGACACAGCCACATTCGATAGAAACGAACCCATGCTGCTTTGTCGCGCGCGATGCAGGCCCACATGGTCAGCCTGCGTGGGTCTGTCGCAGGTGGTCAGGAAAATGGTCGTAAGATGGGGTCGAACGGCGATGGGGTTGGCGGCTAAGCGAGGCGATTGGGCGGTTCTGAAACGCTCTAAATAGCACGCTTGCCTAGAGCCTCATGCAGGTACAGCACGGGAAGCCAATCGCCTGGGTTCAGCATGCTGGGGCGAGCAATCATCCTATAGCGGGCGCCAGGTAGATTGTCCGATGTCTATTCGACTGGATCAGCTGCTTACTCTTGCGCAGTGGAGGTAGGCCGCGATCTGTACTTGTTGTTTTCGCCCGTATCCCTCGAAGCGCTGCTGTATCGACTCCCAAGGTCTAGATCAAAAGGCGTCATGTTACTCCCATTTGGTCTTCTGGTGCACGCCATCGTGTCATCGCGAACCAGACTCCTGCATCGTGCACTCGTTCGCCCCTGCATCGGGTCTCGCTCGCGCCCCCAAAGAAGCAACTCCGCGATGTTGACGTCGCCAATTCCGTCGCTCCCGCTGCGCAAGCCCCATGTGTAGCGCTGTCACTTTAAAATAGCCACATGACGGTGTTTCAGAGGTAATACCACCGTCAAGCCAACGACAAGCTTCTGGCCTCATGGGTCCGAGACTCTCGGCGGATCCGTCTCATATGCTTGACTGCTGCGAGATTTCGAGGGATGAGATGCTGAAATAAACAATGCTGGCGATTCTGGAGGCCGTCTGACCGAGGTCATAACTTCATTTGCTGCGTGTTCGGAGAAAATACTCAGGTGCGGTTGTGAAGAATATTGAAGCACGCGTCAGCACTTCCGGGATTGACCAATTGTGTCCACATCCTCGCGTTTGGTCGAGAATATTGAAAGTATTCGTAGAAAATTATGAGCAAGTCTCCGGAGCTGTGCATGCAAACATAGATCAAAGGATCTGAAGGCTCCCTGTCCTGGATAGAGGTACCGCGGATTTACCTCGGATCGCTCACTCAGATCTCACTCAGGTCATCGCGTTTCACCATAGTTCCTCAAAATATTGGCTTGCCAACTCGATTCATACATGCGGGCCAGCGGTACTTTTGCCTGAACAAGAGAACAAAACCATTCCAGCGCGAATCAGGCTGCATAATGTCGTGCACGACAAGTCTCTACCCCACAACCTCGCACGATCATCACGCATCCATGCGACACGCTACAGCAGGTGACAGTTTGTGCTATTTCTGGTGGCGTCTTTCCGAGTCTTTGACTTTATTCATAGCTTGGGTGTTCTGTGCAAGCTGCAAGCGTGACTAAACTGTCGTCTCCTCCAGGCTTCGTGCCCACCATCAAGGCAAAGGCGCGGTCTATGGCAAAAGGATATTTCTTTCTTTCTTGTTCAGTTTCTAGAACAAAGAACCCTGTCGCTTTAGAGACTCCATCACGTCAAAGGACCATCGCATTAAAGTGGGATGCTTTATGCACATAGTGAGGGGCCCACATGTGCTGTATTTGGCAACAAAACCTATGCGAAACCAGATTGTGCCAGAACGCCTGTCACCTCGCAGATTCATAGATTCACATGTCACGCTTTTGGTTCGAAGGGCGGCAGTACCGAGGATCGTTGAGGTTTTCAAATGTATTGCTGAATGCGTCTATGAAGCAAAACCCATCGTTCGCGGATATTTCAATGTCTTTGATGCACGAGTAATAGCGCCGATGATGCTCTAAGCGTGGATATACTGCTGACCAAACTAAAAATGCATCCTGGGCTGAATGACAAAACGCCGTATCTCATGTCCGTGATATCATTCTGTCCGGATTTCCCACAACGCCCTAAAGTTCAGTCTTAAAATCTGGATGCAAAAGAAATCTGAATACGGAAATTAAAGAAGCGTAGCTGCCTGCAACTCTTCGATCGTTCTCGAATACCGTCTGCAGCGGCTGCTCAAGTCATCAGGACCTTGTACATCTCATGGTAACGTATATGCTGAAAACTACGCATCGTCCTCGATAGTGATGCGTACGACTTCGTTCCGTGGAGCAGTATCGTCCTGGAAACAGCAGCGAGTAGCAGTTCGAACTCTGGCATGACAATGGTTCGCCGCACGGTTGAGGAAAGGAACCTGCATGGCGCCGATGATAGCAACAGCTGCCGACGCCCACCACGCAAGAGCTGTAAAGTGTATATCGATAGAGAGTCCATATAGCAGTCCAGCAATGGGGCTTGCGACTGTGCGGCATGCAGCTCCTGTCGACGCAGCTAGTCCGTTGATCTTGCCGAGGTGAGACTTATCCGGCGCCGCCTCCTTAATCATGATGAGCAGGAGCGGGAATGCGAGAATTGCGGTCAGACTACGGATTGTGAGGCAAGCGAAGATACCGGGGTATAGCAGACTCTGTGGGAGTAGCTGCAGAAACGGCACAACTAGATACGCGACCGGATGCGTCAACGTGACCAGAAGAAGAAGCCTCCAGACCCCAAAGAACTCCGCCAGAAGTGGGAAGACAAACGCCTGGATGAGTAGCTGGATGACTCCATTCAACGACATTATAACGCCAACTTTCTGGACCGGTATGCCCAGGCCTCCGCCCATGGAAGAAGAAGACAATTGGAACGCATTGATGTTGTCCGCACGTTTATCCTGGAGGAAGATCGGGAGCAAGTGATCGTACGTCATCTGCCGTTGTTAGTCTCTCTCTACAATCCTAATCAACATAGACATACCGAGTGATACGTGAATATGCCTAGAGCAACAACAAACTGAATGACGGTCCAGCTAAACACCTTACGGTCAGCAGGCGCTTCCACCCATTCTCCACTCGATCGAACGCGCCACACCTCATCGCGTTGCACTTCGACGTTGTTGAAGGTACCGTAGGACTCGCTTGTTAAATTAGCTGGAGCGTCAGCTGTAGCGCCCTGGGTTGGAAGGAGTGGAGTTTGCGCAACAGCTGAATCGTACTGCTCAAAACGGCCTCGAAGCTGTCGGTCTGGATGAGTCTCGTCGAGCAGGAAGTAGGCCATGATCATCGAGAGGAATAACAGGGACGAACATATGAGGTTCGGAAGCAAGTATGGAAACTTGGCAAAGATGCCAGTTGCACTGAACAGGCCAGGGAAGGATTGCACTGGCTCCGCGAAGTAACCGCCGATAGATGGTCCGATGATGCCACCAATGGACCACACGAAAGGCATGACTGCATAAGCTTTTGGTTCGTGTTCAGGTCTCTTGACAAGTTCGCCAACCCTGAGTTACAAGTCAGCTCATGTTGTATCAGCAGTATGCGTGTACAACTACTCACATGGTCTGAATGACGCCGATGTTGCCATTGAGCGCACCACCAATTATTCGTCCTGCTAGAGCTACCCAGAAGTTTGGTGCAAACCCCACTAGGAGCAGGGACGATAGCGTGCCTAGACATCCTATAATGACCTAGATAGAGACACAGGGTCAGCATGGATCATCGATTCTACATGTGGAGAAGCACTTACTACAGGCTTACGGCCTATACGATCGCTAACCGCACCCCAGGCCATGCCTGAGAATGCCTCGGCAAGCGAGAAGGCTGCGATCAAGCATCCCGCGTAGAAAGGCGCGTTTGTCTCCGAAGCGACGTCGAAATTTGACACTAGCTTCCAAGCGTATGGCAATATCGAGGTTAACGCGATTGGCTCAGCAACTCGAACAAGCGCGCTGTTGTGGTGTTAGTGGCGATCTCGCAGCTTTTGGTGATTGTGATTGTGTTGCTTACAGCAGGGCGAGTTGCGCGGCCGGGAAGTCGTCTTCGGAAACATCTTGTGGGCTGGTTCTTCGCTTTGTGAGATTTGACATTCTTCAACCTGACTTGAATCTTACGGCTACTCCAACACGCAGTCGACCTGGAGCTCAGGGATGGATGGGCGCTGTGTAAGTGGAGCTCCTTCTGCGTTTGGCCTGTATTACCCAGGAACAGACAATTAAAAGTGTAAGTCACGAAAACGGCAGTAGAATTAAAGAAAAGTAGCTGTGAAGAGAGGTGTGGAATGGGAAAGCAAAGGAGGGCGATGGGAAAGTTCTTGAAGGGCGACGAATCGGTGCGCCGTTCTGCACGGAAGATCGGCCGCCCAACCGCAACCGTTCTAGAAATTGCCACGCACGCACGCATCTTGGCAACCGCAGCCGCTTGCATTTCACAAACTTGACTCAACATCAAACCTACCCTCTTTCGCTCACCCCCACAGCTTCAAACACAAGAGCCTGACGTGTCGCCTGTAATTCATACATCGAATTTATGTTCCCGATGGGGCTCTTGGAGAACCCTGCTAGCATCCCGTTGATCAGCCCCACAGGGTGGCCAAACGAGCACGCTAAGCTCTAGCGAGGCAAGTTGTCGGGTCGGACTTTCTTGCCAACATGTGACAGCATGGGCACATCAGCTTGAAGACTGCGGCGTCATTCTCATCTCATCTCCTATCAAACATCTGAGTTTGCGACAGACTTCACGTCCGGAACGTGTGGTGCGAAACTTTGTCCCGAATTGACCACGCGGTAAGATTTGGCCCAAGGTCAGTCACGCTCACTTTTCGAGGCGGTCTGAGGGTCTAGCCTCTAGCCATGCGACCTGCATATGCACCATGCACCATGCACCCTTATCCTTATCCTTATCCTTATCAGCCGTGGCCAATCACATGTTCACCGTACCTTTGCGCAACCTGAGAAGTGGGCTCATGGATAATAGACGTTTCCGTGAACGACTTAACAATCTGAGTTGCAGAGAACTAATGGATCTAAACGTAGGACATTTCACAAGTGAAGGCACTTGTCCATAGGACTTGTGCAAACAGCGTTATTGGCACCGAGTGAGAGAATAGTAGCATTTGACGTGGATACAGGGATCTGCCTCTCACCAACGGCTAGGTAATGAAATACCCATATGTTCAGGCTCAAACCCGACCTCAAGTACCGCCACGAGACTACTTTACTCAGACTCCAACCGTCAGCAATCCACATCCGACAGCAACAACCATGTCAACTTCTCTACGTCTCGTTCGGCATCAGAATCAGTGAGCACAACTGATACATTTTTCGTATTAGTACTGAACTATACACAGAGATGCCTCGTCTCCTTTCATGGATTTGCCAGCCGAAATCCGATGCGAGATATACAAATATCTCCTCACAGTCGAGCACGGTGCTGGTTTCGCAATAATCTCCGTGCAAGAGTTCAGATATAGAGCAACTATTCGAGAACTACGTCGAGGCGGCTCTCCATCTATCTCGAGAGACCGCAAAGAGCAGGTTATGACTGGATTCCAAATATTTCCAACATCTGTGCCGGCTTTCAAGTCGCTATTCAAATACAATGGTGAGGACAACCCGTTACTCCATGTCGACATCCTTCGCGCTTGTCGCCAAGTCCATCATGAAGCGCAGTCCATTATCTACGATTGTAACTCATTCAGCATCGATCCATACGAGTTACCTATAAACGTCCCACTCCATCGCCAATTCCCCGACGGTTGGGTTCTATCAAAGATTCGCTACATCAGGCTCGAACTGGGTTATAGCGACCGTCAGGGTTGTCCCAGGAGCAGTCGTGCCTATGGGAGATGGTCAACCTTCCTACTCCTTCCCGCTTTAAGAGAAGTACACTTCCTCATCCGGTTCCGCGATCGTCTGCCGTATAACGCCGAGAAAACCTGGGATCTGTCTACTTTCCATGGGAAGACCATTCGAGGCATCGTTGCGGCTATACTTCATTCAATCAAGCTCTCTGGTGCTTCATTGTTCCAAGCAGGAGTTACAGAAGGAGACAAAGAAGACTTTGCGACCATGGAACAAGTGTCACAACTGATGACCGAGCTGGAAGATATACGCGGCACTGATGCCGAACTCTGGAAGAATGACATGGAGTGCATGGGACAGTCTGAAAATTATCGGATCTCAAGAGGCGAGGTGATTCCCCCGCCCCGCATGAACGAAATGGTCAAAAAGCGCTAGCGGGTGAGGTGCCAGGGGAGTTAACAATACAACGGTCTTACCGAGAGGAACAAAAGGGCTATTGAATAAGCCGAAATGGGTTGCAATATGGTCCGAATGAAGGGAGGCTTCTCCAATCCAAGTAGAGATAGCGCTGACAAGCCGTGAGTCAATTAAGCAGATCATTTTGCAACCAATTTCAATAACCAAAAATATTTAAATCATGGTCTCTTGATCCCAAGCATCGAGCTTAGCGCGAGTCGGAACCTTATCTTTTAGACCCTTTTCCTCCCGAATTGCCACATGTTCGCATGTGGAACTATCGGGGATGATCTTTCTGGTGTACACCAATGCAACCGTGTCGTGACTCGTAAGCAATAAAAACATGCATGACAAATCTCGCCAAAAGGCTTGTCGTGCCACGTCAGTCTGAAAGAAAATGAAATTCCAGATATCGGTCTTATTACCACATGCCAGCGACAATGTGCTGTAAATATGCAGTTGAGTTTAGTCTCGGCTTCATGGTGCAACGGTTCTCAAACCAACGCATGTCCACACAAGGAATTTTCATACCAGATATACTCCAACTACATGTTCGAAATGCTTCCATCTGTTTATCAGCTTCACGTTTGGTTCGATGTTTGGTTTGTTCGTACGCAAAGAAGTCATGCATACACTATTACTCCTACTGTAAAGACTATAATGATTACTCTTTCATCACATGTCATTCGCGATACCTCCCCCATTCTGCTACATTACATGCTCGCTCCACCACCCACCAATGTCTACTGAAGAAGGCGAGCGTATCCAAGCAAACTGCAAGCTCATCTGGGAAGATTTCGACTACGACATCGAATTCAAAACTGACGACTACGTACACTATAAATGCATAGTGAGGAAGAACTTCGGACTGTAATCCGGACCACCGTTGACTATGACGAGTCTTTGTCCGTTGAGTCATGCAGCCCGTGCGGAGTTGGATCGCATGCTAGAGCATATGGCAGCGCAGACCAAAAGCGAATAGCCCATGTGGAGATAAGTATGGTTGGATGGAAGTTTTTTTTGGGGGAGTTTTTTTTGTGAGAGGAATGGGGATCGTATATATGTGCTGGGTCAGTTCATGGCTGATGCTGAGAAAAGAGGAGGAGTGGCATGAGGTCACCAGACCCTGGCAAAATTCGTGTCCGCTCTGCACATGCGCGAAGTGATCTAATAGTCTTTAGGAGCGCGCTTGATAAATTTATAAAGAAGCCTGCATATATTTAGTGCTGTAGGATATCTCATCTAGTTTTGCAGAAGATTTTGAATATATCTAGGCTAACTCTCCACCCTTCGCATTCGGTGAAGGTGGGCACCAACTCTGCTGGGGCCTGGTGAGGTTAAGAAGTTAGGTTTGTCAAGGTTATAATCCTCATTGGTGTGGCAGTATGTTGTCGAGTATAAAATGAAGATGCTTAGGCTTAAATTGCAAGACGTAAGTGTGAAAACTACGGTACTATACACGACTCGCTCAAAATATGCTGTTATCCGCACAAGTAAATGGTCCATTCAGCGTACTCTCGGGATCATTGAAAATGTCAATGAGCGCTTTGAGCGACGTGTACAGCCCTGCCACCATCAAGAAAACAGTCATGGAGAGAATCGCATAGTTGAGGCATGCGAGCGCCAACTTCCGCCTTGTGCTGTGCTTCTGCTCCCAGTTTCAAATGCAAAAATAGCACCGATGTCAATCCGAAAGTGAACCAGCTGATGAAGATGGCCGCAGTGATGTTCAGGATGGAGCTGAAGATGGGGATTGCGTTGGACACGATGAAGGAGACTAGCCAGAATAGCGTACCGATCGCGATCCATAGTGACCAGGTGAAGGCGTTGTGGACGTTGATTTCGCGCGGCTTGTAATGGCGCATGATTGCGACGTACATGTACTGGGAACAAGTTAGTGGTGGTTGGTCGCTCCTTCACATGTGAGATTCTTACCTTGATCGCTGTAATGCCGATGATTAACCCAGTACCCAGCACGGATGGGATCAGAACACCATATGCAATCTTTGCAGGAATTGCTGCAGCGGATCCAAGCGCAGGAGACGTGACCGCGTCGCCGGCAAGACCGTAGATGACGCATGCCACGATGATGTAGATAACCACCTCGAAACTCTTCTGCATGAACAAAGCCGGCGGGAAATCCTTCGAAGCATCGCGCATTTCAGCCATGACGCTAATGAATGACTGGTTGCCAGCGAATGCGAATGCGATGTTGAGGAGAGCATTGACAGTCTCCACAAACGTCGGCTTGCCCACAAGCGTGATTGAAACTTCGAAACCTGGAGGTGCTCGAGGACCTGCAACACCAAGTGCGATCATGACGATCAGGACGGCGGCGACAATCGAAACAGTGCAGACCCAAGACAGAGCCGCGGCGAATGTAAGTTTGCGTGGCAAACACAACATCCAGCAGACAATGTGAGGGAATGCCATGAACGCAACCGTGCATAACGCATGATTCGACAGCGTGTTCAGTGCCACCGACATCGTGATGTTTGCCGAAGCGCAGATAAGGACCAGATTGAGAATGAAGGCTGCGCCAAAGAAAGCTCCAAAACGCTTGTCGAGGACCTGCGCACAGTCGACGAGGTTTGTGACCATCGGATAGCGCCTGAAGAACTGGACAAGGATGTAGCCACTGTATGTGGTGAGGATGCCGAAACCGAGAATTGCGATGATGCCAGGGATTAGCCCTATAGTCTTGAGAGCAGCTGGTAGAGATAGGATACCTTGACGCACAGTCAGTCACACCCTAAAGACGATTGACACACCAGCCACTTACCAATGCCGACTTCGATTGTGATCAGAATCACACATGCCCGCCAGCGGCCAAGTGTCTTGTAATTCTCGCTCCCCGTATCGCTATTGTCATCTGCCCCAGGCAGCGCATCTCTCGTTCCAGTCTGAATATTCGTGCTATGCCCATACGCCTCTTCAGTATCTTCCGATTTTGTTGACGGGTCGTACGGCGGAGGAGCATCCATCGCCAAATCCGCGCCTTTATCCTTCTTCAAAAAGTCTGTGATACCCATGCTTGCTAGCTGGGAGAGGATGTATGTAGGTGGTAGGTTCAGCAGTAAATCAACGAGGTGACCTCATATTCTTAAACAACCATGACCTCCTGTATCGGCCTTCAGGGCCTCGCGCAACAGTCACTAGTGTCCGAGATTATCCTGGGGACATTCGCCGCCCTGTGGGTCAATGCATGCCATTTTCTGCATTCTCCCCAGCTTTCGCGTCGTCCCAAGGGTCCTCGGAAGGAAGAGTACTCCATGTGCCCAGCGCGGAGTGCAGCTGTGTGGGGAAATCCAGTGCTTCAATGGCTATTCACGGCTCTCCTGAGGAGAAAGCACAGCTATTCCATAGCTCGGGGTTGCCAAGTTGGTGTTGTTTGATGAGGTTGTGGGTCGTGGTGAATAATAGCGTGCTTCTTCAGGGTAACTGTGCCTATGCAAGATCCACATTTGACGTAAGTTTTCTCGAAAACTTCACGGCCTAGGATGTCATTGCTTGGCGACGTCGCCGAACCTCCCGCAGTTGCCGCATTTCGGGTGCCGATCTTATGACGGACGCGTGGCGAGTTTCGTGGCGACGGCGGCTCAAAACGTGAGGTCTGGTTGCGGATGACTTTTCAGCCCTATAGGGAAACTAGTCTCGCGGAGGATTGGCCTCCTCGGGAACGTCCGCGCTGTCATGCACTCGGGTGTTGGCTGTGACGATCATCATAGTGAGTAGCAAGCATAGAATTGCAGCGCGAAGACCAAATGACTTCCATTGAATGTCTATGAGAAACGGCATCAAAAACCTACTGCACGCCGGACAAACATACATGCACCTACCAAAACCGGACTCAACCAGCGAAAGACTGCGTAGAACCAGCGCCCTCACTCGCAGGCACCGTGCCTGCAGTAGAAGGAGCTTCTTCCTTCTTCTTCTCGAGTTTGTCCGCAATGCTGCCACCAAGGGACTTCTCCGCGCTGGGACTTGATGCGCTAGGCTCTTCTGCAACAGGCTTCTGCGAACTCGATGGTTGCTCGAGCGAAACGCCACCAGCGGCTTCATCACTACCATCCATGCCGGGGAATGCTCCAGGAGCCCCAACAGACCCTGGAGCAGTCTCAGTCACGAGAGCTTCGTCTGGTCCAAGTAGGCTTGATGCCGCCTCCTTGCCCTGTGAGATCGTCTTCGATAGCTCTGAAGGAAGATCTGATGCCGCGGCACTTGTTGCCGAGGTTATTTTCGACAGTTCAAGAGGTTCTCCGACCTGGCTGCTTTGCGTTAACGTCTTCGAAAGCCCTGCTTCAGACGAGTCTGCAACGGGGTCTTCAGACCTGCTGGGGGTCTGAAGCTTCGATTGGAGCTTGGCTGCGAGGCCAGCAGCCGGTACATCCAAAACGTCGTATGAATCAATACTCCACATCGCAGTAATCGGGCCAATGCTGAGCTTCTGGTGAGATACTGCAACCTCAGAAGTCACGGTGGCTGCAGGCGTTGGGGATGCTGCCGGCTTCCTCCTCTGAGGACCCTTGGCCCTGCCCTTACGAGCATCCTGGAGAGGTGCTGCTGGCTCTGGCTCTGCCTCAGGTTCTGGCTCTTTGACTTTGGGTGCTTGGGGACCAAGACCAAGCTTACTGTTCAGGTCCTTCAAGAAACCAGCCTGGAGGGCAGCAATCTTGGAGCTACCTGGTCGCGCCGGGACTGGTGGCTTGGCCTTTGGCTGTGATGCATCGCCCTCGATGGCCTGTGGTTCTGATGCTGCCTCCTCGCCCCTAGCAGTAGTAGTGGACTTAGCGGGACGTACTGGAATTTGTGGTTTCGGGCGATCGGGGATGATGGGTGCCTTCTTGTCAATAGGAGACTCCTCCTTCTGTGGTCGCGCCGGAATCTGCGGACGAGCTGGCACGCTGGGCTTTTCGACCGCGGGTGAATCTTCAGCATATTCATTCGTTTCTTCTTGTTGTGGTGTGTTGACGGTTGTTTCCCATTGGCCATGTTCAGGCGCATCTTCCCAAATGTCTTGACTGGGGAAACGTTGCTGCATACCAGGACGCTGGGGGACTTCTTCGCCGCGAACCTTGCCGAGAAGCTTGTTCTCTGCGGCGAACCGTCTGGTATGCTCAGGCAAGAAGGATTGCTGGTCTTCTTTCGTGATATTGTCCTTGCGCGCCTCCTCGGTCTCGGGCTTCTCGAATACTTTAGATGCGCTGACTTCACCGACATCACCGACAGCGCTCTGGGGTTCGTCGGGAACTTCTGGAGTCTCCACGGTTGTTTGCAGCTGCAGACTGCCAGGGGTGTCTTCCCAGACGTCCTGGCTCGGGAAGTGGTGGCGTGCGACACTGGGACGCTTGAGCTTATCGACTTGGCTCTTGGGCTTGTTGGTACCGTCTTCCTCATCTTCGGGGAACAACGGCTCGTACTCCTTGTGCGACTCAAGTGGTGTACCGCCCCTGTCGTACTGTGCTGGGCTTGGAACCACGCGCTGGGGCTTGTTTTCGTTTCTGCTAGAATTTCTGCTATGAGGCCGAGCCTTTGTAATGTAGGCTGGGGTGCCATCTTCGTTGACAGTGTATTCGTCACCACGACGCTCCATCTCGGGACTGATAGCAGGCTGTCTCCATTCGGAATCAGGATGCTTCTTCAGCTCGTCGGAAGCAAGAATAGGCATGCCATAGCCTCTTTCAGTGACCCATCCACCTTCCTCTGCAGTGTTCCCGCCCTGAGGGCCAAGGTCTTCGGTAGGTGGGTCGTAACCTCCACCGTGGATTTTGCTGCCGCGGTGAGCAGGAGGATCAATATGATAGACTTCGCCATTGTCGTCGAGCTGCTGCTCCTGTACCGGCTCTGCTTCTTGGCGCAGAGGGGAGTCGACGTGGACGCCGGCCTTGATCGATGCGGGTCGGCCTGAAGACTGCGGACGCGGTGTTGTATAGCGTGAGGCGTACTGCTCGGTAGCTATGTAGCCAATCTGTTCGTCAGGCGTGCTGACAGCCTCTCGTGAGGTACCTGTGTGTCATCATTAGCATCCTGTACATCGATGGAACGAGCCCGGCTCAGTGCTTACCTAGTCCAATACCCTGTGTACCAGCGCCATGTACGAGCTGGTCCAGGTTGTCTGCACGCCAATGGTAGTCTTTCCGGTTCTCTTGAATGTGTGGCCCGTATTCGCCAGCCTTTTCGCGCTTCAGATCTTCCGGATGTCTTTCATACCACTTCTTCTCGAAATCATCCTGGGAGATTTTGCCGTGTCCATGCATACCGTAGCTGCCTGGAGGTCCATGAAAGATCTCGCGGCCGCTCTTGGTGCGTCCGTGGTGACGACCACCCGCCTTGTTGTGGAAACCAATACCTCCAGGGCCCTGCTGTTGAACGGGTGCAGGGCTTGGGGCTTGCACGTCTCCCGCGTTGCGGAACATGGGCACCTGGACGCCGATTTCGGGAATGCCGTGCTCATCTTTGTCATTGTATATCGAGCTGGGACGAGATCCCATAGAAGAACCCGAGCGGGCACTCTTGGCAGTCTTGTCTTCTGGCACAAGCTGCCTGCCAAAGCCGGCAGCCTCAGCTTGTGATGAGTCTGTGCGTGTCACAGTTTGGATCCGGCTTTTGGCGGTGGACGCCGGCACAGAAGCCTTGGGGGCATGCAGCGGCAGATCCCCAGCAATGTTGCTGGTTTGTTGTGGGGAGGCATATGGCTGACCCGCGCTCTCGTTGGTGAGGGTCTTGGACAAGTCTTCGAAGCTGGCATACTCGTTGCCTTCTTCTCCAAGCCCAGGAAGAGAGGTGCTGGGTGGACGAGAAGGAACTTCGCGTGGCTTAGGTGGTGGGCCGTTTCCGTAAGGGCTATTTAGAGGAGAGGGAGCGAAGGTGTCTCTGTTCGGGTTGGGAGAGGCTGAGCGGTCCCCGCGATTTGGTCGAGGAGGAACCCTGGGCGCCTCCAATTGCGAAGAAGGCGCAGAGCTGTTCTGTCCTCGCGCCGGGCGTGGAGGTATTGAGGGTGGGGCACTCATTTTGTGGGTTGAGTTCTGTGAGGGTGTGGTGTGGGGTTACGAATAGAGGAGACTGTGAATTGGTTTGGATGTTAGCGACCGAGCCGAGTCATAGAGGTTAAAGCGCCGAACGGAAGATAAGCAATGTGGTTCCAATGATCGCGATAGCCCGTTGCCGTGGAAAAACGCGCAGCACCTGCAGAAGCTACCGGACAGCTTCCATGTAGCTCAATTCGCAGCCAGCCAATCAGCCGGACTGTAATTCGGCTGAACAGAACAAAGCTTTTGGGCTGTGGACTTACATCAAGCACGCAATGGGGGTTCGACGTGAAAACGAAAATTTGACAATAGTTCTGACTAGCAGTTGCTATGGTCAAGATAAAAAGGCGCAAAAACCGATCTGCCTCTGAAGCTGGGGCGGTGCAGTTAAGTATCTTGCATCATACCTGGTTTGGCGCATGGGCCCTAGCGCTTTGCATGCGGCAGCCGGAGCATCATCAGCGTCGAAACCTGAAAGCTCTCACCAGTCGCGGCATTTCATACAACGCCTTTTGTACAGAATTGCCTCTACAGGACAAAGATATGACGCGCCAATACAGAGGGCTGTATTACCTTCCAGCCATTGCAGGGCTGTACGGCCACTGTATGCCATGCCCAGACACCCTGTGTTGAGCATTCCGCTTTGCTCGCCATGACATGGACTCGTGTCGCCATCGATCAGGTCTTTTGTGTACACGTACTCTACGTCTTTGTGTACGTGTATGACTTTATGATTTCTGTTTCACGTTTGCGATGCACGATACGCCAGCATGCAGAATCTTCAATACCTACATACAAGAGCGGTAAACGCCACGGCTAAGCCTTTAGTACCTTAGCGTTCCCCGCGCTTGATCACCTGGATGCAGGTCATGGTTCCTGGCCGGACGGGCCTGTCGAGGGGGATTTGAGACACATCATAATCTCCGCAGCCCAGTCTCTTCAAGGACGATACTGGAGCATTTGGCATTTGACACATGTCAAGTACGTCAAATCGAAGTCGATTAATCCTATATTCCTAGGGCGAACATAGTTCGGTCTGGCGGTCGACACCAAACAGCTCCAGAACGCCATAGTAAGGTGGGTCCTCGACAGCTTCCACATCGACATTACGTCGGTACCTCCACTCTCAGATGACATCAACAGGTGTGCTAATCGTCTCAAGATGCATCATATGCTATCGCAGCGGAGCAGTGCTTTTTTCTTTTCTCATGGCTAAATAAATATGATCCATTTTCGGCTCCTGCATCAAATGTGTTGTAGAAATGACACCAATACGCCTAGCTGTCGACTGGCGATAAAAAACCAAATCGCAAATCCTGGGATATCACCAATGCGCTGCATGGGCAATCGCACTCCATCTTCAATTGTGATGTGCTACAGCACAGACGCATGTATCGTAATCATTCGCTCTTCTCTCTCATAACGATGACTCGGTATCGCTCGCTTTCTTTCATCCGCTTATATGATCATCTGCGCCACACCCTGTCCACCCAAAGTCTTACTGCCCTGGAACTGCTGACCCTTGAAGCCAGCTAGGGCGTAAAAGATGGCTGCAACCATGAGAAATATAGCTGCGACGATCAAGCTGGTTGCCTGGGGCCAGATGCTGATCCACTGCACCACACTCATGACGCCGTAAATGGCGGCTCGCATGTAGTTCGAGCTGAATTTGCGAATGAAGGCATCGAACTTCGGTGACGTTGGACAGATACGGAGGAGGAGCGGGATTTCGATGAAAATGATGACAAACGACGAGACTCTATTGCAAGTATCAGTAACTTGAAAAGGTGAAGTTGAACAGGGAAACGCACAAACACACGATACTGAATGCAATGACAAAGGTAGGGTGGAAGATGTTCGCAACTCCGAGCGCGAAGCAGAGGAAGATGCACAGCACTCCGGTCCTAGCAATCGAGTCAGTTGGTGCCATCTACACTTGCCGGGTGCAGTTCGTAGAGGTGATGTGACGTATAACATGATGGCCGTTGACTGCACGTCGCTACTCTGCAAGTCGACGACTCTTGCGCAAGGGGGGACATTTGTTGCAACTGTTGTGCTAATGCAGATGGATGAAGACAGCGCGAAAACCTACTGACCATTGACCGTAGATACCTGCAAGCATACCACGTCAGCAATAGCTCAATAGCTTCCACCAGAGGTCATCTTACTGAAATTCCGCGACTTGAATTCTTCGGCGAGCGTCATCTCTGCGATATGAGGGGTACAGGTTTTGAAGACGGCTATCTACGTGCGGAGTATGCCAGTGGGTGGTGGATTCGAGGTAGGTCTCGGTAGCTGTCAAAGGCGCAAGCTGCTAAATGGAGCTACGAGTCGATGGGCGAGGCGTCTGTTTTGTGAATATACCGTGGAGCGGCGTTGGCGTACGTGGGCGTTGCGTAAGTCAAGGGTGGCTATGCTGGGCGCAGGTGAAGTATCTCAATGGTTGCCTAGTCGCGAGAAGAGTGGTGCTGTGCAAGGTGATCGGAACAGCGGCTTTTCCAGAAGTTCCACGTAATCGCGGCTTGACTCCAGAGGTTCCACTAGCGTGCCCTTGCCGAAACACCAACTGCGACTTCCGTTTTGGCTCGAGCGCGACTTCCTCACAAATGTTCAGCAAACCACAACGGCAGGCACCATGGACGCCCATTGTTGCCGCGTCTACGGCCCTGGGCCTGGCGCTCTACTACCTACATTCGCGCACAGCACCAACAACACCCGCCCCAGGACCGACGCAAGTCAGCGAAGAACAGCCGTGCCAAGCCTCAGTCGCAGAGCACCAATCAGACGCAATGAACCCAGAGGAGAGAGCGTATCATGAGCGCTTCATGCGGGAGGCCATCGCCATGGTGAATTACTTCCAGTAAGCAAATTTCGAGAACATGGCTGACTATTACCGCAATAGGCCGAGCTTGCTCTGAAGAGTGATGAAACACCAGTCGGCTGTGTCTTTGTCAAGGACGGCGAAATCATCGGTCGTGGTATGAATGAGACGAATCGCACCTTGAATGGCACCCGTCACGCCGAGTTCGTTGCGATTGCCGGCATCTTGTCCAAGAGCCCCGTCAAGATTCTCAACGAGACCGATCTCTATGTCACCGTTGAGCCTTGTGTCATGTGCGCCTCCATGCTTCGACAGTACGGTATCCGCGCCGTCTACTTTGGCTGCTGGAACGAGCGCTTTGGAGGGACAGGGGGTGTCTTGAACATCCACTCCGAGTAAGTATCGCGCAACGAGTCGAGTCGAGAGTCATGCTGACCTGTCCTAGCCCTAGCATCGACAAGCCATACCCGGTCACCGGTGGCATCTTCAGGGAGGAAGCGATTATGCTGCTGAGGAAGTTCTACGTTCAGGAGAATGAGAAGGCCCCAGAGCCTAAGCAGAAGAAAACCAGGGAACTGAAGACGGAGATCCTGCCAATGGACATTCATGCGCCCAAGTCAACCCCTTCGCCAGCTCTGCCCACTCTTCCTATTCGACAGCCTGGTGTGGCGACCCCAGTCCTGACCTGATCGACCGCACGTTACCTTCACATGATACCCGCCCATATGGATTACGCTTTCCTGTTTCACGTTCTAGCTTCTTTATTGCATGCATTCATGTATTATGTGTACATTCATGGAACATATGAGCTTTCCCTTCTCTCCAGCTCCTGCGTTTGTCGTACGTTATGTGTAGTTTGTGCGCCTCGTTTCGGGCAACGTGCAGTGCATGTAATCTACCCATCCATCGTCGTAAGCGTGTCCATGTTCAACTCCTCTTGACAGTCGCCAAGAGCATTGAGAGGACGTGACGGACGCTCAATGAGAACGATATCGTTATCGAGCGGTTCAAGAACCGTGTTTACGATCTCTCGCCCTTGTTGGAAACTGCGATTCTCGGTGTGTCAGCAAATCTACCACGAAGGAACCTCACTTCTGTTCACCAAGCATAAATTCGCCCTCATCATGTCCATGGACGAAAAGGCTGATAGCCAAGTGTCCAAATTCTCGCACGGCTTGAACCTCGCTCAAATTGAGCGGCTTCGCTTTGAACTCCCGCTTAAATTTCCCGTGGCTCGTGGATACTATCGTACCTGGCGCTTTCACACTAAACCATCGGACTTCCTACATCCCATGAGAAACCTCCAATCTGTCCAGCTCATCATCACTTCTTTTTAAAGAAGACACCGTGGTCCATGACCACTCAACCTTTGAGCGATTGTGGCATGTAACTTGCTTCGATAAACACTCTCCTGCTGCAGAAACTCATTACCTTGGTCATGTTCTTGAGATCAATCTTCATGGTTTGCTTCTCCGACATCGATGGTTAATGTTAGGATCGCGTAAGTCTGGTCAGCCTCTGTGAATAGGGCGAATGATTCCATCGAATATAATACACTCCTCCCATCTGTTTCCATGTGCGGTTTCCAATGTGCTGTGATGCCTGTATAAATTTTAGTTACAAATGCAAACGGAGGTGATGCCTGTACTTGGCGTGAAGATGTTGTGCACGTGAACAGGTGTCGCTGACGTAACACAAGTCGCGACTTTGTAATTCACGGTTCCCAGAGAGCGTCTTCCCCGCATAATTAGCACCAACATGCCGCCCAAAGGTTCCAGAAAATCCGCCGTCGCGGCACCAAGCAAAACACTCGTCCTTGATAACGGCGCATACGCTATCAAAGCTGGTTATGTGCCGAGCGCGTCAGAGGCGCCCACGTACGACGATTGCAGAGTGATACCGAACTGCATTGCGCGCAGCACACGCGACAAATGCACTTATGTCGGGTCAGACCTGGACGGATGTAAGGATTTCGGCGAGTTGGCCTTCAGACGGCCAGTGGAGAAAGGCTTCATTGTCAACTGGGAAGCGGAGAAGGCTATTTGGGAGCATGAGTTCATGGAGGCCGCAGTAGTGGAGGGGTTCAGGGTAGGTACGCGCAACATTTCGCTCCAGTTTGGACTGTCCCTGACCACTGGCAGTGTGACCCAAAGGAAACGAATCTGCTATTGACAGAAAAGCCAAACTGCCCAAAAGAGCTGCAGAAGAATTGCGATGAGATTGTGTTCGAGCAATTCGAGTTTGCATCCTACTACAGATGCGTTGGCCCTCGTCTAAACGCCTACCACCCAGCGAGCCCCGAGTCGCTCTCCAGTTTACCACAAGAGTGCTTGCTCATCATCGATACATCCTACTCCGACACAACTATACTCCCTCTATATAGCGGCAGGCTCATACAATCAGCTGTGCGGCGTCTCACGGTTGGTGGGAAGCTGCTCACGAACTATCTGAGGGAGCTGGCGTCGCTACGGCATTACAACCTGATGGAGGAGACGTATCTTCTGAACGAGATCAAAGAGGCTGTTTCGTATGTCGCACCCTCTGCGCAGCACTTCTCAAGAGATCTGGAACGGGCCTGGAAAGGGCGGCTCGGCAACAAGCGCGAGCTGGATTCGAGCGTTGTGGTCGACTACGTGCTACCTGACTATGAGACTGCTATACATGGTCACGCAAGGCCTCATGATCCCGCCAAATCACGCATGCGCAGAGGTCTGCAACCGTTGCAAGGGCCAAGAGAGGATCTGCTGACCATGGGTAATGAGCGCTTTGCAGTACCAGAGTTACTCTTCAATCCGTCCGATATTGGTATACAGGAAAGTGGAATACCGGGGGCAGTGATGGAATCTTTGAGTGGATTACCAGAGGCGCTCAAGGTGGGAATGCTGTCCAATGTGGTTGTTGTTGGTGGCAATTCGCTGATCAAAGGATTTATTGAGCGCTTGGAGGATGAGCTAAGAGCGATCGTGCCGGCACAGTATTTACTGAACATAGTACGCGCAGAGGATCCCATCAAGCACACATGGCTGGGTGCAGCGAGATTTGCTAGTCAGCCAGAGTTGCTGAGGGAGGTATTGGTGACAAAGGCCGAGTACGAGGAAAGAGGCTCAACTTGGCTCTTGAAAAAATTCTCTGGGGAACGATAACCACATGACAACAGCGTGCTGCTGACCCCAGCATGTAATATAACTTTTTTATCATGGAGCGATTCGCGATACTCTCCATCTTCAAGTTCGGCGCTTTCGTGTTGCTCATTGGTCAGTGTGCGGCGGGCGCCTTGGCGCGATTTCCATCTGCACTTCTCGAGAATTTCCGAGCACTGTCCCATCTCTACATCTCGATCTCGATGCGCCGAATACCGCGCCCTTCGCGGGCAATTGATCCATCGACAGTCCTTCACTCGGCAGTACGACCACGGATCTCGCCCCCATCTTGCCACTGCATCCGCACTTCGACCGCCGCATTCTCCTCCACCCCCTCCAACGGCTTTCTCCTACCCGCGAAGCAAGACAAGAAGAAGCATCAACAGTTCGTGCGAAGATGGCAAAAGCGACTTCTCGGTGACTCTGAGCCAATTGGCGCTCATGTCGACCCCTACGATCCCACTTCGCCTGTCCGGATAGCACCTGAGGAACAGGGCGAGTACGAGGAAGTGCTCGACGAAGAGGGCGGCAAGAATGAGGTGCTTCAGCAAGGGCGGCTCAAAGGCTTAGAGGCAGACACATACATTCCAGTAGAGGAGAGTGGCCGCTCACGACCAGGCGCCGACTTGCTGCATGTTGGTGGAGAGGAGTGGCTCCAACAAAAGGTGGAAGCCGACATGGCCCGGGAGTATGAGAAGCTCACAATGCGAACTTATACGCCAATGACGCTGGGAATGGCCAATGAGATTGAGTCGCTGACAGGCACGCCCTACACATTGCGGGATGATAATCTCATGATGGCACAGGCGACTCATGATGTGACAGCACGCCCATACACAAGTTACAAGTACGTCTGATTATGATACAGAGATTCGAGAATTACGACATTAATGCCAGGCAGTTTTGGGTTGCACAGGAAGCTCACTCGCCCAGAGGACCTCCGCGCTCGTTTTGCGCAAGCTGTAGCCGAAGTATACGCATTGAAGGAGGCTGATCTCGACTTGAATCTCGCAAAGCTGCCAAACCGAGGCATCTACGATGTACCTCGATGGGTGAAGGATATCAAGCTTCAGAAAGTTAAAAGCGGTGGGCTTACGTTGAGATATCCCGGGAACAAGAGTGCCAAGGACTTCCTCGAGGCCATGCAGTCAGCCCCTGAATGGGAGTCCGCAGCTGTGGAGGGAGATGAATTGTTAGTTGAAGGCGCTGAGGATCTTGTCGAGCCAGTCTTGCCAGCGGATGCCTTACCTACCATGGATCCCGCTACACCGGCCTTCAAGCGGGAGGCCGTCGTCAAGATTGACCCTGAGAAGAAGCCTTTCGACTTCATGTCGAATCGCCCAGTACCACGTACAAAGCCTGCCGAGCCTACGAAAGTGGAAGAGGTGCTCGAGGTAGAAATACCTACAGCTGAGCCTGTCGACTCCACCCCATCACGTCGCGTATTACAGCCGGTCGCCGATCATCTCACAGGCTCACCAATACCCAAGCCCCCGAACAAGTCGACACCTTCGAAAATCCAATTAGAAGAAGTGCAATGGCGACATGCACCTATTGACAACAACGCTATTAAATTTGCTGTAAGTCATCGCTGATCAAGTTCATGTATAATTTACTAACATGTTACCAGCTGTTCAAGCGCGTCTTCCAACTCATGGGCATTCGCATTTCTGATCCACATCTCACCTCTTCGACAACCATTGGCCAGCTCTACGATCATGTCTATGAAGCAGCTAAGCCGCAACCCACCAGCCTCTACAGCGCCATTCACATCGAAGGTGCCAATGCACGGCGACGCGCGAAACGCTCAGATAATCCGAACCCATCGAGGTCGCAACGAAGAGCTGACCTTGGTGATCTTATCACCGCTGGCAACGTGCAACTCCGCAAGAACAGGCCGACGAAGATGGAAATCCGAACGAAGACGGGTCAGGCGAAGAGCATTACCCGTGCATTAAGAGAGCGTGGTCTCCCTTACCAACAGTGAACTCGACACGCGAAGGGATAGTCCACTGAAGGATAAGATAGGGCTCATAGAAGGCACCCGGGACATTCCTGATTTCGGAAAGCCGTTGTCTAGTAAGAGCGTGAACTATCTGATCGAGCACAGAAAGAAAGACGCAAAGAAGCAGGAAGCAGCAGAGGTGGAGAAAATGGGACAGCGATGGGGTGTCCGAATTCCCAAAACTTGAATCAAGTCAAGAATGGGGCTGAGTTGATAAAGTTGGAATTGTACAACATACGCTTCTGAGAAGGGGAATGTACAGTATTGCAAAGGGCTATGTTAGTTCGGCGATCACGGCACAGAAACCATCATGATTGACGTTCTGTTTAGTTTGATATGTTCATGTACACATCCTGCCTTTCGACTTCTCTACATTATGCAAGTTGGCAGTGCTAATCTTTATCATTGTCTGCATGTCTCAATTGTTTCTCACAGCTCCGTGCTGCAGCTAACTCGCTAGTCGTGGCTATGGTGAATCAAAAGACCATCGTCATATTCATGACAATTCCAAGACAACATCATTACTCCTTCGTCCGTGTTCCTGCTATGTCTGCCTGTGCGTCTCTAATCAAGAAACTGCCGCATGTCAGCTGATGTTGTTGTTAATACTGAAGTGTTGACGCGGTACTTACTTGTACCATAGAACCGTCGGCACCACTGTGCCCAGGTGCCAGAGACTATGCGCGTCAATCATGCCCTTCCACGGGCGCGAAGTCCATCAACTCCATGCTCATCGCCGCCAATAATCCAAGCAACACACAGACCCGGCCACACCGCCCAAGTCCGTCCAATCTTGCGGGTATTGCACATAACTAAACGCGCTCCAGAGTATGTTCGCAATAACCCCAACGACAACATTAGCCGCCATATTATACGTGTAGTCCCACGACCAGAACGACAAGTATCCCACATGCAGTGCATACAGCACCAAACAAAGCGCCGTCCAAATCCTCAACAAGCTCCTCCTCCTCGGCTCGTCCCTGTCCAGTCTGAACACGCGAATCGGCGCGTAGTACAGCCCGTATAGCACATTCGCGCCCGCCCCAAAATAGTCCAACTTCTCCGTGACCCCAAAGTCACGCGTATGGAATATCATGCTGAGCATCCAACTCGCCAGCCCCACATAGCCGAACCACATGTAGTATTTGCGCAGCGTGTATGAGGCTGGGATGTGGGTGCGCAGCTGCGACATGCCCCAATCATGTGCGAGGTAGTTGAAGAGCGAGAAGATGACGCTAAAGGGCTCTTGCATGCCCATGAAGCGGTAGAAGGGCCATTTTCCGTGGAATTGGTACACGTGGGGTGGGGTGAAGGTCAGGGTTTGGGAGGTGACGACGTGCTGGCATGTGTAGTCGCATTCGGAGGGGCAGGTCCAGAGGAGTAAGCGGCGGTGGAAAGCTTGATAGTCAAGTGTTAGTGAACACTTCTACATCTGGTTGTGCTGTGCGTTGGAAGTGAATGCATACGGATAGGCGTGGGTTCATCGCCGCAATTGGCGGCTTGACATATTTGGAGGCAATCTTTGAATTCGTGGGATCGGTCGCCGGCGGAAGCTTGCGCCGTACCGCTCAGAATGCTGAGCACAGCTACTATGGGAGCTAATCGTGGCTTCATTGTCACCGCAGGATGGGTGGGGTTGCCATGTGGTGTTTGTGTCCACAACTCAGTCGCGTGTCTCGAGGGTCAGACAGGGTACATGCGCTTGGCAAGCGCCACCCGTTGTTCCGGAACCTCACTAAAGTTCTGTCTTTAATATTTGACTTCAAGATGCGTCATTACTCGAGCTGTAATCGTTGGTTTTAATCAAAGTGTACGGATGCAATGATGCGAAATGAAATTGGCTGGTGATGATCTTCTACCTGCCTATCCCGGTACTGGACACGGCACGTGCGGGGTTGGTATTACTTGGGCCGATAACAACATGAAGTAATTTTAAGAGTTCTACCGTATGTGTGAGATTCCTCTTTTCTTTCATCAGTCCCATAACCAGAATGAATCTCATCCGTGGAGCGTGGGTGCTTCTAGCACTCCTTGCATCGGCAACATCAACTACAGCCCATGCTTCAACGCAACCAAGATTGACATGGAGTATTACACCAACAAACACAATCCGCCAGTTCCGCGGCCTCGCGCCCGTCTCAGACAAAGTCGTATGGGTCTCAGGCACCGCCGGCACCGTCCTACGTACCACCAACGGCGGTTCCACATGGGCCAACGTCTCTCCATCCTTACTTCCGGATAACGCAACAACATTCGAGTTCCGCGACATCCAAGCCTACTCTGCCGAAACGGCAGTCATCATGTCCATCGGCGAAGGAAACGCTTCGAGGATTTACCGTACAACCAATGGCGGAAAGAGCTGGAAGCCAGCTTTCATCAACCAGGAACCCACCGCATTTTACGACTGCATGGCATTTGAAAACGAGAAACATGGCCTTGCTATGAGCGACCCCGTTAACGGCAAGTTTCGACTTATCGAGACATGGGATGGAGGCGCAAGTTGGAAAATCGTAGATCCATCTGGTATGCCTGCCGCACTTACCGGGGAAGCCGGATTTGCAGCATCAGGAACGTGTCTGGAAGCGGCTGCTGGTCGCTGGTACCTCGCATCCGGTGGCGTCAACCCAGGTCGAATTTATCGCAGTAACAACGGCCATGACTGGAAAGTGACCAACAGCTCGATCACTGGCGGCGCAGCAGCTGGTGTATTCTCTGTGCGCTTTCGAGATGCGAAGCATGGACTTGCTGTGGGAGGAGATTATCAGAACCCAACAGGGAACACTGGTATCTCGTCTTGGTCTGACGATGGCGGCGCAACATGGCAGGCGAGCGAGCGCTTTCCAGCCGGGTATCGTTCCGGTGCTTCCTGGATTCCTGGGAGGGGATTTACGGCGATTGCGGTTGGCACATCTGGTTCGGATATCACGTTTGATGGTGGGAAGAACTGGAGGAACTTCGACAACGGGACGTTTGATGCGGTAGAGTGCATAGGAATGAATGTGTGCTGGGCCTCTGGTTTGCAGGGACGAGTTGCAAGATTGTCCTCGTCGTAATCATTTCAACGAATAAGAATATTGCCATACTTACCGCTACCCCCGCCCCATCATGTCACGCATTTGAGTCATTGATGAATCATGTCAGCTAAGTACAGCTTTGTACGGTGGACATTCTGCATGCTGATGGGTTTCGTGCATGAGGTGTTGCAACCTACGCGAAGTGCGACGGCTGTCAGTCCAAAGTCAATATCTTGTGGAAAGTTTGATACGGTAGAATCTGTCAGAGACCAACGAGGACTGACTGCTTACATTAAGCGAATCGTTACACTGTGTCTTTCTCCGCTGTCAGAACCTTGCCGTACCGGTTTCTGTGATCATTACTAACCCTTAAGACGCCGGATCAGGAATCCTCATTGCCCCGAATTGTACTAGTGGTTTCCATTTGAAGTGCTATCAGCTGTCGACATGGCTGGCTATAAAGACACAGCCTTTCGCGGTGATTGAACCTCAGATCTTACTTCATGCAACATGGCTAGTATTTTGACTGTCGCCTCGTTACTGATTCTTGCTTCGGGCGTTGCATACACTTTCAGTCGATATCTATGGCGTAAAGATGTTCGCCCTCTCCCCCCAGGACCAAAGGGTATTCCCTTCCTCGGCAATGTGAATGATATGCCCAAGCCTGGGGTGCTTGAATGTCATCACTGGCTGAAGCATAAAGATCTCTACGGTCCAATCAGTTCGGTAACAGCTATGGGTCAAACTTTCATCATCATAAACGACCCGGACATTGCCTTTGAACTCTTACGAGATCGTGCGGCTATTCATTCTTCCCGACCTTGTCCGGTATTCAGCGGAGATATGTAAGTATGCAGCTCACCAGTAGAGCTTACCACATGAACACCTAGAAGAGCCTGACGCTTCGTCTAGGGTAGGCTTCGCAGGCGCAACCGCCATGATTCCTTACAACGACACATGGAAGATACATCGCAAAATCATCACTCAAGTCGCAAGTAGTAATAAATCGATAGCGGCATTTGACCGCGCACAGGAAATTGAGTCTGCCCATTTTTTGCTCAACGTACTTGACAGTCCAGAGAAACTCTTCAAGCATCTCCAAAACGAGGCGGGTAGTGTGGTCCTCAGAATCACGTATGGGTATATCGCCGCTCATGGGGCAGATCCGCTCGTCGAAGTAGCTGCTCAGACTATGCTCGACTTTTCTGTTTCCACTGTTCCGGGGATGTGGATGGTCGACTATTTGCCATTGCGTACGTATCGCGCCTGGTATGACAGACATGAGCTGATGAAAAGTAGTGAGATATGTTCCGGGCTGGCTTCCAGGCACTGGGTTCAAGAAGACAGCAAGACAGATGGCAATGCGACTGAAGCAATGCACCGACCAGCCCTACGAATGGGTCAAGCAACAGATGCGAGAGAAGAGGCATACCACATCATTTGTATCTGAATTCATCGAAAATACTAGTACAGAAACAGAGATGGAATTTATCCACAAATGGGCTGCAATGTCCCTTTTCCTAGCCGGAGTTGACACGGTGAGCGCCTCATCACTGGCTGTTAACGACTACTAATGCTAGATGCAGACTTCTTCGTCACTGATGATATTCTTCTTAGCAATGATGGTATATCCAGAAGTCCAAAAGAAAGCCTCGGAAGAGATCGATCACGTGATAGGCAAAAGTCGCCTGCCTGTAGCTGCGGACCGCGACAAACTTCCTTACATCATGGCCATGGTGAAAGAGACTCATCGCTGGCACTTGGTGCTACCACTTGGTTTCCCGCATTCCAACATAGAGCAAGATATTTACCGGGGTTACCGCATACCAAAGGGTTCCATTCTTCTGCCTAACAACTGGCACTTCACGCATGATCCAGAAGTTTATCCGGATCCCATGGCCTTCAAGCCAGAGCGCCATCTCGACACTCCGACTCATAAAGCCGAGCCAGACCCAAGGAAGTTTATCTATGGGTATGGGCGACGCATCTGCCCGGGTCGCTATGTAGCAGACAATGCCTTGTTCATCACCATCGCGCAGTCCCTCGCGGTCTTCGATATCACCAAGCCTACCGAAAATGGAAAGATAGTTGAACCAAATGTGGAGTTCAAACCTGGCACTTTCAGTCACCCACTGCCGTATCGATGTTCGATCAAACCCAAATCGAAAGAACACGAGGACTTGATACGTGCAGCTGAGCTAGAGCATCCATGGGAGGAAAGTGATGCGACAGGCCTAGAAAGTGTGAAGTGGTGAAATTGTATGAAAGTAATATGAATAAATGTTTGGTTCTTTCTTTGCAAACTTACACAGCAACGGAAAAGGATACACCTAACTTACTCGTGCTGTGGTACTAATTCGACGTTCTGCATATCAAGGTGTGAACATGTGGGGCCTGCAGAAAAACTTCAACATTGCTAATCCTGCTCCACCCCCACTACCCACGTCAACAACGAGCATGTATCGAGTCACGCCCTACAGCTCTGAACTGCCTTCCACAGCTCTTTCAGTCAGCCGTGTCCATTTTATACCATCTAAATAACAGCCCATTCATCAAATCATCCGATATGGTCTAGTGGCTAGGATTTGCCGCTCTCATCAGAGTAGTTCGCTCACAGCGCCGGCAAGGCCCGGGTTCGATTCCCGGTGTCGGAAACATTATTTTTGCCGTTGCAGATGTATCTAGGAGGGTTGTTGTTACGTTGCGCAGATGCGGTTGACTATTTTATGTCGCGCAGGGGCGACGATCACATGACCTACTGCACTAGCGACACACTACCGACGCCATCAAACTTTTATACTTGTAAGCTTGCCGTAATTCATGTATTTAAAGTGCTAGTCTAATTGTGTTTAATCAATTAAAGAATCTGCTAACACACGGAGAAGACGGTGGCAGCGAATGGCACAGTCTACACAAATCCCCGTGATCATTGATGTCAGTGGGGACGAGATGCTCTAGAGCATATCTTGATTGCGACTCCTAATCACATTATAGTATCTCATGATGTGCGTTTTTTTGAGAATGTAGAGCTGGCTGGGCGTCAACGGAATCCCAAAACTTGAAATCTGCATCAAAACTACTTTTCGCAGCGAAACAAAAGCACAAAAGCAGATGACTCCGTGAGTTTGTGGCATTCACATCGTCCTCACCGAATTGCAATAGAAGAGCCATACTTATCTCTTCCTTCCATAACTCTACCCCCGCCTCTCCCTCATTACCCCTACACCGGCGCCATGAACATCGTAGCCCCATACCTCTCCCCCTCCTTCGTCTCATACGGATACTCCTTCCCCTTAATCCACCCCAACCTCTCATACATCCTTGTTGCAGCCACATCTTTATCCAGCACAATCAACACCAACCTCTTCCCATTTGCCTTGCCCCACACCACCGACTCATGCACAAGCTTTGCGCCGATGCCTTTGCCCTGGAGTTTCGGGTCCACAAACAGCGATACGAATGCTGCGTAGGAACTTAGTGGGGTCAGGGATTCGGTGATGGCGGGAGGGTGTTTGGAGGCATCTTGGATTTCGGCGTGGCCGGCGAGAGTGCCATTGTGTAGGGCGACGAGGGAATGCAAGGCATTTGGTGATGTGAAGCGGGACGAGAAGGATGGTGGGCCGTCAACGGGATACTTAGTTAGGTTGAAGACTTCGGTGAGGATATCGATCAAAGCGGGGACGTCTGAGATTTCGCGGGGCCGGATGGTGATTGAGTCGGATGTTGACATTTTGATTGTAGGATTGACATAGGTGAAGGAGCTCACACCATGAAATTGGTTAGTGTTAGACACCATTGCAATGACTCATCCTGGACATGCAGGTACACTGCTGACAAAGCAGTGTGACGCCCAGCCGATATCTTGTGTTTGGGGTTATTCTATGCATGTTGCAACTCCGATATATGCTGTCACTCGAACGCTTTTGTATGTATCCTCCCTCAATCAAGCCTTCTTCAAGACTTTCCATCCAGCCCAAGTAATCCTAGCCGCAAATAGCAAACCCCGCACTCAAAAATAGCATAGCGCCACCGAAAGCCCCATAATGCAGGAAAGCCACCCTTGTCAAGTACGGCGCCTCCAATTGGTGTACCGACTAAGACCCCGAATGCAATGACCGTGAAGCCTTGACCCAGCCTTGTGCCAATTTTTTCTCGGGCATTCAGGCTCAGCATGACGACAATGGTGGGTGGTAGACTGACGAATGACCCGGAGAAGAAGCCATAGAACGCCATGAGTACGATGATGCCCGCTGAAGAGTTGACGGCGATGAAACACACGCAAAGAGTTGCGGATATGAGACAGCACGGAACGACAACGTTGAATGGGCCGACTTTGTCGGCGAAGATGTTGGGAATGATACCTAGAAAGGACATGTTAGTATTCCACTGTGTTGTAGCACAATCTCTACTTACGCCCAAAAGCGGATGTGCTGTTCATGACAGCAAGGAGATAGAATGCCAGATTCTCATTCGTGAGGTGCTCTCGCAGTGCATACAATTGAGCATAGAAGAACGGCACATATAATCCCATGAAGCCGCAAAAGAAGCCTGCAACCTGGAAAGAATATGCCGGTATCCGGAATGCTCCGAAGTCGAGCAGTGAGCGCTTCTTTGCGGGTAGAATGCGAATTCGCATGCAGAGGTTCGGAATGACCATCGTAGCCAAGATTATGAAGCCCAGCACTCTTGTAGTCCAGCCGAATCCAAGCGTAGGAAGTAGCCTGTGGAACACGATTGGATAGAGGACACCGCCGAGTGATGATCCAGATGCTGCGATGCCGATGGCTAAGCCAATCCTTGTTGAGAAGTAGTTCGATAGGATTGCGACACTTGGAACAAAGAGCGCGCCTGTTCCGATACCGATGCAGAATGCCTGGGCAAGAAGTACCTGCCAGTACTCATGGCAGAGCGAAAGCATCATCTGCCCAAGCACCAACATGATAGATCCGAAAATGAGGAGAGACCGAAAATAGCCTGCATCATATAGCGGTCCAGTCAAGGCACCAACCATGAGAAGGAGAAAGGCCTGAATGGATCCAATCCAAGATATTGCGGAGGGTGAGGTGTCTCTTAGAAGGTCGGTCTCGTAATATGCTTGATAGGAGCCGAATGTGTTGATGATGCCCCTGTGACGAATCGTTAGTCTGATCTCTATGCGTATGGTCTAGAGACACATACCATGAATTGAACATTAAAAAGAAGCTGCCCAAGACTTGCAGCCAAGCCCAAAGACCTTCATTAGGTATACTGGATGCATCTCGCACACTTAGATGTCTTGACTGCACCGGCTCCAGTACTGCGCCGTCTTTCTCCGTCACGTGGTGATCGTCGTGCACCTGGTCCGCTGCCGTATTCGGACCGCTCACCCCAGAAGTCGCTGACGAGATGGAAGGCTGCTGGCTGGTTTTCTCATCGTACACGGTTGAATGGCTCGCACTCGCGCGAACGGGAACCGTTCCTCGCTCCATTGTCGAGAGTGCTGAAGCGCGAACGTTATGAAGTTGCGCAATGTGAGCCCGAGGCAGTGGTATGTCCTAGCCGGTCGCTCCTGGAGGATTGCAATACGACCTAAGAGAACGACAGATAAAACGGGAAAGGAGAATAGATCTCGTTGGGGAGCGGTCCGGCAGATCAAATAGCAACAGAAAGCTTCTCCGCCGTATAAGGCAATCGCTAGCGGGGGGAAGCAAGCACGCCCTTGAGGGTTGCTCGGCCAAAGTAAAGGGCGAGCTCTAGTTTGGTTTTCGAGCTGCGAAAGCCTAACCGGATCTCCCGTGCACCAATCAACGGTGCGGCTGCAAGCACGTCACGAAACAAACGCTTTAAACGGGTTATGTCCGTGCTATATCCGGTTGTACAGGTGCGATATCTGGAAGATACAATTCACTTTCGTTTCCAGTCCTACAGATAACTGGTTAATCATGACATGGATGCCTTTTTTAATCTCAAAGTTACTTGTGGGATCTTTCAAAGTATCCCCTCCCTCGGGACACAGCTCGCATTCTGCGACAGCCAAGGACCGTAAGAAACCTATACTCCACCAATATCCTGCATCTCGTGCACCATCGTATGACTCCAGACAATCAAAGGATGTTTTGTATTGCTCACAAAAGGGCGGAGACTTCGAGAGGAATAGCTGTCAGCATCACTTCCCCGAGAGCATAAGCGTCCTAAGAGAAAATTACCTGAGAGGAAGAGCGCACCGTAAAGATGACCAATGCGCAAGGAGTGTTCTGTCACAAAACACCGTCCCTTCGATGATTTTCCGTCCAATTAAGGAGAGTGAGCTTGGTATCATGCATGTGCTAAACCTAGATGTAAATATGTATTATCTCGAAGCTGAAGGGCCAGTATCCTATTGACTTTTTAAAAAGAAAACAGTGGG